CACTGACAAGCCGTTCCCCGCCTGACTTCCAAGCTGCTGTGGCAGTGCGAGGCTGAGCTGGTATCACTAGGTTGAAACCTGAACTTGCCCTGGCTGGCTGGGCGAAGGGAGCTGCTGGGATGCCATCTCTCTGGGTTAAGGGTTTTCAAAGCTGGGTATTTTTAATGTAATGTTCGAATGAGAGATACTCCTGATGATAGATACTGAATAATTAATGTCAATGAGGTGGAGTTTAGCTTTTGCTGGGATGGAGGATGCTCCGTGGCCCTATAAATATTTCACAGGGATAAAAAGGGAACGAGAGGGAGATCTCCAAGCAGCGCTATGGTGTGAAGGCTCACAGGAGCCTCCTTTGGGTTGGGGAAAGGACACCCTTTGCAGGCTGAGCAGAGCAGTACATTAAAACAGCCACATGCTGCTGATATTCCTGTCTGAGATACCAGAGCAGCAAGCACTGCTAGAAGACAAGGATCTGGGGGTCAGGAAATTCAGAACAAGGGGGTCATACAGCATTGAGGACTGGGGATAGAGTTTCCAAGGTCATTTGGTTGGACCTGTCCCCAGTTGGCAGTAACCACAGGTTATTGCCAGAGAGTTGTGCTTTTGTCTTATGTGAAATAGACTGGAAAATGTCCCAGAGCAGGCCCTAGTGACCATGTATTTACAATAATCATCACCACGATGTCAACAGAAGCAAAGGACTGAATTAGCCAGGGAGACTGAACAGCCCTAGAGATGGGCTGTTGATGGTTGGGGCCAGTAGGAACATTCATAGGTTCATAGATTTCAAGGCCAGAAAGGTCCATTGTGATCATCTAGTCTGACATCCTCTATAGCACTGGCCAGAGAACATCTCCAAAATAATTCCTAGAGCAGAGCTCTAGAAAAACATCCAATCTTGATTTTAAAAATTGCCAGTGATGTAGAATCCCCCATGGCCCTTGGCAAATTGTTCTAATGGTTAATTACCCTCACTGTTAAAAATGTATGCCTTATTTCCAGTCTGAATTTGTCTAGCTTCAACTTCCGGCCATGGGATCATAAAAAGAAAAGGAGGACTTGTGGCACCTTAGAGACTAACCAATTTATTTGAGCATAAGCTCAAATATGCATCCGATGAAGTGAGCTGTAGCTCACGAAAGCTTATGCTCAAATCCTCCTTTTCTTTTTGCGAATACAGACTAACACGGCTGCTCCTCTGAAACCATGGGATCATGTTATTTCTTTCTCTGCTTAGACTGAAGAGCCGTGTAATCAAGTCACCCCTTAGCCTTTTCTCTTTGTTAAGCTAAGTAGATTGAACTCTTTCAGTCTATCACTAGAAGGCAGGTTTGCTAATCCTTTAATCATTCTCGTGGCTCTTTTCTGAACCCTCTCCAATTGATCGACATCCTTCTTGAATTGGGGGCTCCAGAACTGGACCCAGGAGTCCAGCCATGGTCTCACCAGTGTTATATGTGGAGGTACAATAACCCCTCTGCTGCTACTCAAGGTTCCCCTGTTTATGCCTCCCAGGATCGCATTTGCTCTTTTGGCCACAGTGTCACACTGGGAGCTTGTATTCAGCTGATTATCTACCACGATGATCAGAGTCTCTGCTTCCCAGGATAGAGTCCCCCATTCTGTAAGTATGGCCTGCATTCTGTGTTCCTAGATGTGTACATTACATTTAGCTGTCTTAAAACACATATTGTTGGCTTGCGCCCAGTTTACCAAGCGATCCAGATTGTTCTGAATCGGGGACCAGTCCTCTTCATTGTTTACCACTACCCCAATTTTTACGGCACCTTACAGACTAACAGATGTATTTGGGCCTAAGCTTTCGTGGGTAAAAAACCCACTTCTACAGTTGCAGGCATGCAGCAGTGGGTTTTTTACCCATGAAAGTTTATGCCCAAATAAATCTGTTAGTCTTTAAGGTGCCACCAGACTCCTCATTGTTTTTGTGGATACAGAGTAACACGGCTGCCCCACTGATACTTGGTACCAATTTTTATGTCATCTGTAAAACATAAGAATTATCTTCCCTAAACTCAATAAAATAATGTGTCCACTTAGATCAGTATCCTGTCTCTAGCAGCTGGTGTTGGCCACTGTCAAAGAGGAAGGTATAAGAAACTGATAACCTGCCCTTAGGGTAATTTCCTTCCTGTCCCCCAGTCTTTAGAAGCTGGTTATGCCCTGAAGCAGGAGAGTTAAGAGCACTTCGAAAACTGGGGTTGGGTGGGGTGCAGGGGTTGTGTTTGTTTGTATTTTGAATCCTTGCTATATCAACTCTGGACATTATTGCTATCCATATAAATGCTCCATCTTTTTGGCTTCCCGCTAAGCTCTTGGCCTCAGTGACATCTTGTGGCCATGACGTCCACAAGCTGAATGTATACTGTGCAGAAAAGTATTTCCTTTGGTCCATTTTAAACATGGGCGGGGGGGGGGAATTTGAGCTGTTAAATTACCTGCCTGTGGATGAATTAGGGAATATCTACACTGCAATTAAACACCCAGGGCTGGCCTGTGTCTGCTGACTCAGGCTTACGGGACTCAGGCTAAGGGGCTGTTTACTTGCTCTATATGCATCCTCCTAGGGGCTTCCGTCCCAATTGCCATTGGACTGGCACTCTTGACCAGCACCAAATTAGTATAAACATGTATAGACAGTGTGGTTTGGACCTGGAAGGAGAAGGCATGTAATTTCTTAAATACCAATAGAGCTGATAAGGCGTCTGCCATCTATAACGAAACATTGGAAAGGCTTTCCTAAATCGAAGAGGAAGGCTTGCTTCCAGGTAATGAACCTGGAGACCATCTGTTACCAGCTGCATTTGCTGAGCTCATTCATTCATTAAGTGTTTTGATTTGTGTGTTATCAGACAGAGTCAGGTTTGTGTGTCTTACCAGGGCTCTTTAGGGGCAAAAGATTGTTCCTACATCTCCGAGACAAGGATATACAATTACATAATTTACGCCCTCACTCAGTCACTTCAATTAGAGAGGCTGCCAGTGGGGAATTGAGGACAAGACTTACAAACGCAGAGCCAAGAAAACTAGTGATACCATGACATGAGCTCACTGCCATTGGGGAAATTTAATGGCATTAACAACTTCCAAACATGGAAAAGCATGCGTTGAAGCCATGCATTATTGAGCAGTGCAGGTTGTAGTTGTAGGCAAACTCAGAAGTTTCTGCTTGTCTGAACTAAGGACTTGGAGAGCAAATTCAAGGAGAAACAAAAAAGATGGGGCAGAGGGAACTAATAATAAGGAATGACAAAGAGGGAACTTAAGGATGAGCAGAAAGCAGCTGGAGATTTCACTCCCAATTCTTATATTAATTATAACTCTGCATTATTCACACAGCACAATGACTGTGCATGGTAAAAGTCAACACACTGATTGCCTCATTGATGGAGAATCTAAGACATGAGGAAGACCTCACAGCATGGCAGGAGGTAGGGCCCAGAAGGGAAAGCCAAGGCAGCAATTCCTGGTCACTGTCAACTTGGACCATGTTCAAGATGGTGACTTAGAAATTAAAGGGTCCAGACTTTGTTCCCAGAACTCTGCAGGGGGGAAACGATTTAACTGATGCAGGAGAATTTTCAAGATTTCAAAAAAAAATTCTGTTCCCAAGGGGGGAAAAAATTCAAAATTTCAAAATAATAATAATAATAATAAAAAAAATTGTGAACCAATAATTTGAATAAAAATTCATTTTGGTTTAATTTTGACCTTTTTAAAAAGAGGTTACTCTTCTTTAGCTAAAATTTCAAAACAAAATGTTGTTTCAAAACAAATTGAAAAGCAAAAAATTATTTTTGAAAATGTCAACATTTCCCATTTTGATGACTTTGAAACTTTGTTTTTCAATTTTTTTTTTCAAATTTGGAGATTCACTGAAACTGACCCTTTCCTGTGAACAGTTCTGGTTCTGTCAAATTGGTGTTTTCCAGCAGAAAAAAGTTTTGTTGGAAAATTCCTGACCCGCACTCCTCACACTCCACACCCACTTTATTCTTATCCTCCTAGCAACAGCTGCTTGGAAAATACCAGTTATGTTTGATGGGACGATTTCTTAAATGTGTTTTTCTTAATTTCCTTTGAAAATACTTCAATTTTCAGCAGATTTTTGAAAACCCAAATCACAAACAAAAAATTTATTAAAATTGCAATTGTTTGATTGTGAAAACCAAACATTTAAATCAAAAACTGAAAAAAAATTCATGAAAATGTTTCAGTTTCCAGTTTTTCATGAAAATACAAATATTTTAACCAAAACAAAAGTGTCCACCAAAAATGTTTATAGTAGTAAAAATGCCTTTTTTTAAAAATGGGAAAACAATTCAACCTGCTCTATCCTGGCCTCTGTATCCTTTCTCTCTGATGTTGATTGAGGCTCAAGCACCTCTAATCTCAGATAGTCAGGGGAAGGAGATGGAAAGAGGGGGATGGCAAAACCGGGCTGGATGGGGAGAGAGAAATTTATGACAAAATATTCCTGGAATTGTTACTATCTCTGAGCAGCCCTGGGTTCAGCCCCAACATAAGCCACCAGCATCTCCCCAGCAGTAAAAGGGGAACCAGGGAAACCCTCCTTCTCAGAGAGGCCACATTTCTTGTTTTTAGGTGTCACCATAATTTGACTCAGCTTCCCTGCCTGCCGTCTCTGGGCTGGGTGCTCAAATCAAAACAGAATGTACATAATCACATACACAGCAGTGAGCGGCTGGGTTCCCAAACTCCCCTGAGCTTCCTAGGGAAACTGTGAGAGAGGTCCCTCCATGCAGTTTGGAAGACATGGAAGTTCCCACTCACTGATAAACCCAGGGGAGACATGGCTATAGCCAGTAGTGTAGCTGAGCATAAATGCCACTGGCTGTAGCCCTAATGTAGCTTTGAAATGTGTAAGCTTTTCCCAGGAATTTGTCTCTGGACACGCAGTGGGAGAGGGTGCTCCTGAACCTTCATGTTGTTAATAACTCTATTTTGGTCCTGTCTTGCAGGAGGAATTTTCGAGTATGCAGATGGCCCCAACGCCCAGGTTATGAGTGCCGAGGAGCAAGCCTTTAGATTTTCTGCCAATATTATCAACAGAAATAGAACTTTGTTGCCTAACACAACATTAACTTATGACATTCAGAGGATACATTTCCATGACAGCTTTGAAGCCACTAAGAAAGGTAAGTAGATAGCATATTTCTCCATTTGGTGAAGAATTACCGTTTGGGTTGATCAGAGGCAGACCACTCTCTGCTCACCTGTTGAACATGTAGCCAGGAGCTTATGGGTCTTTAATAACTTTATTTATTATTTAGTTTAAAAATGTCATCTCTTCTACCCATTTCCATTTTACTCCATGTCATCTGAAGATGCTAAGGCTCAGATCACCTACAAGTGGCTGATATATGCATGTGGCAAAAATAAATCTTACGAGCATTGCGATCAGTGACGGTAACCATGCACTGCTGGAGACATTATGCATATACCCACTTGGATGACACCTTTGGCAGCATCCTTCCTGGAAGTACATCACCTGGCGTGCATGGCAGGAAGGGAGATTAGAACCTACCTGGAATGCTATAACAGTGTGTCAAAGGTTAACAACACTGTGCTCCACTGATACAGGGGGACCCCATAAAATCTTGGCCCTGCATCTCCCAGAGGAATCTGAGTAACCACTGCATTCAGAGCTGCTCACTTTGCTTTCCTTGAATTGGGGCTTACACACGGGTACATGTTTTTGAAATAACCTGACCACAGTGAGAAAAGGTGAACAGCTGCAGGAACCTCAAGCCAGCCAGACTGGAGATTCCTTGTCTTCTGTAGCCTGTGCAATAGTTTCTTTATTAAAACAAACAAAGGAACAGATGTTGAAGCCCACTGTATTTTTCATGCAAATGTTTCCATTTAATTGAACTTCATGCAATAGGAAATTCCAAGATGGCACCAAAGGTGTTGGTGGCAGAAACTAAAATAATCCTGACTCTCACTTGTCGGGATTCTCCCAGTTCAGGTGGAAAGTGGCTACTGCTTTACTGGATTTTATGAATATCTTTTCCTAGAATTCTCAGGACCTTTGTACCACCCAGTATGTGCAGGTCTATTGCCTGTTTCTACAGCTGAGTTGACTGAAGCACCAAGGGGTCAAGTGAATTCTGGATCAAAAGCCTTGTAAATCAGATGTTCAGCCATGCATCTCCCAGTTCCTTATCCTATGCCGGTCACTAGACTATACAACTCCTTCACCCACTAACCCTACACAGCTAACCTATTTCTCTTCCAACTCTAAAGTTTGCAAGACTCTTGAGCAGCTCCACTTAGACATGATATTAATGGAATATGACAAGTAAATAAAGTTATGTTTTTAAGCCTCTCCTTCATGTTTAATTAATGTGCCACTTCCTGGTGCATTTGCATTGCTAGATAAAGACTGGGAACTCTATCCAATGAAACAGAGTCCCCCTATCCCTCTCCCCCCCACACACACATTAAAAGAAGGGTAAAATGTGAGCACTGAAATGATGGGTTGTGCCATTATTAAATGCTTCTTGCCTGTTGTGGTTTGTGTGGAGGTTCTAGAATGTTTGAGGTGATGGTTTGATGAACTTTTTAAAAGCACAGAAGTGTGGAATAGTAACGGTGGATCCTAAAAAGCTTAGAAATTGGATAAACATGCAAGAGTTTGGCTGCCCACCACATATTCCTAGTAGAGAGGGATTACAGCTTCCTTCTCCCCACCACCACAAGTCATTATTGTTATTGGATGCCAATTGATTTGAGCTGCTAGAGAGCGAGGTCTGGAGGGCGGGAGGGAGAAACTGGATGGCACAGCAAGTGCTCTGATTGTGGTTTACCCGTCAGCTTGTGAGGGTGATGGATTAGCTTCAGCTGGGGGGAAACCTGCTCAGCAAAAGTATGACTCTATCTGAATTCACAGACCAGAGAGGCATCAATAGACAGAGCTGGTAACTGATTGTCACGGAGTCTACCAGGAATCAAGGCGGATATTTGCTTTTTTCAGGGGGGTTTATCTTGGAAGTTCCCCTAGGTTTTGTGACCCCTGCACTGTGCTAGGCTGAAGTGTAAGTATCATGTTTATCTTCACTGAAGCATTAATTTTTGCTGGATGTTAAACCACACAGGAACCAAAGGAGGGGCACTCGTGAGCGTGCATACGTGAGTGTGCAAGTGAACATGTGTGTGCGCACACTCCCTACCTGGCAGGAAGCAGTGTGGTTCCTGCCTTACCAAATGGAACGCAGTGTGTAGGCCACAAGGTGCAAGCTTCTGCTCAGTGTCCGTTCTATGTTTATAATACAGTCAATGACGTTCCGTTCATTAGCACCCCAATCCTGCTCTTATTACATGAGAGAGATCTCCCACTGACTTCAGAGAGCCTTTTGTCTGAGCTGCTAGTACTGGACCAGGCCCATAAAGGTCAGCTTATTTCATTTGGTAAGTGATCTAGTGGCTTCCCCACATAGGGGATAAGAACCTACCACCACCTACAGCTCGCAGACCTGGTCCTTTGAGCCTTATGTTTTTTGTACAGAAGATCTGGGGTTCTGTCCCCTCTAGTGACCTATGGTGTCATTCCATACTCAATAGGATTGAATTTCTGGCCCCATTGTGGCAAAACTCTCTGGCTTCGGTGGGGTCAGGATGTCACCATATCTGATAACTCTCTGAGCAGAGCAGCATGGAGGAGTAAAATACCCTGCTATGGTGCTCTATCCTCGATCTGGTCCCCATTCAGCAAAGCATGCAAGCAAAGGCCTGATATTCCAGTGGGGTGACTGGCCTCACTGAGCTCAGCGTCAGCTGGCATCCCAATAGAAAGGGGCTGTTCCCATGACTAAGGGCGAGAGGGTTAACCCTGTACGCGTTAGTAAGTCTCTCAGTCTAAACCACGGTCATTGCTGAGCTGGGCACAGATAAACATATTTTATTTTTAAAAAGTAATCACTATGTGCATTTCAGAATGAAGTTATTTAATGTAATGAACTAGTCAAAGCCCCAGTCTGTGCTAAGCGTCTGCAAAATATCTGGGGTTTAAGCTTAAACCCTGCATTCCCAGCAACCTGAATGAAACCTACACATCAAAATCCAAAAATCTCACCAGCCATCTACCCCTGTTTTCTGGCCACTGAAAATATATTGGATAAATTACAGATAATTTTTGTATGGAAAGAGAGGTGTGGGGGAGATGCTTCCAGACTGCCAGTGGCTATGGTACGTTTCAGTCACATGGGATTCAAACCAGTAGGGAGCCCAGAAAAACGGGCGCTGTTTATCATGGAAATAGGAATCAATCCTTTTTCATATTGAGCTGATTTGGATATAATTGGTTTCTTTTTCTGTGAAAATTTCTGTTTTTTCTTTAAAAATCCCAAACCCCCATATCTTAGGTTTTCAAATTTTTAATGCAAAATTTAGAAGAAAATTGACATTTTTTTGTGAAAATTTCAGTTTTGTCAAAAAGCCATTTTTAATTTTCAAAACAATTCAATGGGAATTTTTTGCCCAGCTCCATATTTATAGCAGTTGCTGCCCAAGGGACCATCACTGCAGGGCCTAATTCTGTTCTTAATCGCCTTAAGTAGTAATTACTCCTGCAAGTAAATCTGCAAAGATCAATGGAACTACTTGCATAAGGGCTGCTTGGAGCAGGGGAAGGTGGCAGAGTCAGGCCTCAGTGAATGTCTCATCACCAGAGCTTGGCTTTGTGGTCACTCTTTATGAGATAGGAGAGGGCTCTGTGACCCAGTGCTGTTGATAGGATAGTGCCATTAACTAAAGAGCAGTCAGTGTTATCACCATGCAGAGCTGGGATTTAAAAATGAAATATCTGTGTGTAAGGAAAAAATCCTGAAAATTTCAAGACTTTGTACATCTCCCTCAGCTGTATCAGGCTTGGATAATCACTCCTTGGTCTGGAACCTGTCATCTCTCGTCTGTCTCACTGTTGATCTAGAACTTGACCTGCCTCTCTGCCTCTCCTCTCTGTTCCTTTATTTTTTAATATTTATATTTTGGTTGTTACCCAGAGGCTTCTGTCTGTCTGTCCATCCATCCCCATACATGCTGCTCTATCTATCTCTCCATGTGCCAAGACAAAGCAGCAGAGCTGTGCTGTTTGTGATATGACTGAATTAGTGACACGCTCTGGATGGGCTTGCATCCCCCAGTGTTAATCAGTCCCAGGAGGGATATTGTCTGGTGTATTGACAGCCTCGATCCCTTTCTATTCCAGCCTGTGACCAGCTCGCCCTGGGGGTTGTAGCAATATTCGGGCCTTCTCAAGGGTCCTGTACCAATGCTGTTCAGTCTATTTGCAATGCACTGGAAGTCCCCCATATACAACTTCGGTGGAAGCATCACCCTTTGGATAACAAGGACACTTTCTATGTCAACCTTTACCCCGACTATGCTTCTCTCAGCCATGCCATTCTGGACCTTGTACAGTATTTGAAATGGAGGTCAGCTACCGTTGTTTATGATGACAGTACAGGTAGGTGAAGGGGGAGCGAAGCAGCTCATCTATTGTGGGTTCCATTTCGGGACTTTTCCCATGCTCTCTGGTGGAGTAAAATCATGTTATGTGCGGTGAGACGAGTCCACAGGGACAGATCCGAATTCCTCATGAACTCACAGCAGAAATGCACAGGGTTCTTTGGAATATGTCTAAAGCTTTGGCAGACTTGTCAACCAGCTAGCCTTCATCCCCACGGCTGCCGACAAGGGGCCAGATGAAGGATGACGCTCTCTGCCTGTGTAAACTGGCCCCACTTCACTGAAGGCAGCCGCACAGCGTCTGTTTACATGAGCAGAGAATTTGGCAGGTGGTTTTGCCACGGAGGGCACAAAGCTCCCTCTAATGGCATAACTGAGCCTGCAAAGCCTTTGCTGTCTGGCTCATACCAGAATATGCTCCTTACACACATCTGCAGGTAGAGGGAGCTCTTGATAGCAGGACAAAGCCCAGCAAAGCACCTGCTCTAAAGATAAAATTGTGTCTGGTCGCTTGTTCAAGACAATTTCACAAAGCCAGCGAGTTTCCTTAGGGGAAGTGCTGCGGAGAATGCCGTGTGACACTGCTGTTGGCTAATGTGGCTCCCTGTATATTCCTCTCCGTGACGTGTTCAGATGCACTTCTTCCATGTTGCACAAGGACACTCCCCATTGTCTCTTCCCCCTTTGCAATGGCCTTCTGTTGGGTTTCTTCTTGCAACGCTAGATCCCACTAACTTTAACCGGCTGTGGCTGGCACAGCATTGTGCTTTCTCCAGAGGAGAGAAATGAGTGCACGGGTCGAAAAAAGGTCTCCGGTTATTTCCTGTTTCTGCCTACAGTCATGGCAGTAATATAATATGATAGAGAGGAGATTCTTCTCTTCAGATTGGAATTAATTACCCTAAAGACTCAGTTGGACTCAAGTCTCAGTTAATGGGACTTTTTTTTTCTTTTTTAATCTATACACAGTAAATGAAACAGATTTTGAGATGTTGGCTGGCTAGTTGTTATGCTCTCTCTTTCCCCTAGAACATGGGCTCTTAACTTGAAGGGGCATGCCCCCAAAGCTGTAGGGGGTCACGACTGTCCTGCCAATCCCACATGGCCAAATGGTGTGGGGAGGGGGGGAAGGGTGCATCCTGGTTAGATCTCAGATAGATGGAAGGTGGGTTATTAGGAATGGGGTTTCTGATATGGGAAAAATTGGAAAACAATTGCCCTAGATGTGGTTGAAATTTAAAACCACGGCCCAGCTGCATCCTTTGTTTCGGTAGACACTTTTAAAATGCTAAATATTGGCGGGGTGGGGGGGGAAATTACTTTGTGAAATCAAATTGTGAATGCAAATTAACAGTTGCCCAGTAAAAGTTTGTAAAGGAACCCGGAGCCCAGTGGATGTGGAAGGGACCCGCTGCTGGCAAGAGCAGCTCGTTCTGACATTGCTGTGGGTTTTGTCTTTTTGAAATGCTGCTCTCTAAGGCCTGATTCGGCTGCAGGAGCTTATCATGGCCCCGTCAAGGTACAACATCCGACTGAAGATCCGCCAGCTGCCCATCGACACGGAGGATGCCAGGCCCCTGCTGAAGGAGATGAAGAGAGGCCGGGAGTTCCGCATCATCTTCGACTGTAACCACTTGATGGCAGCTCAGATCCTCAAACAGGTGAGTTCCGGAGGGGCTGCAGCAGGAGGGGTTCTTTGGAAAGTGGGAAGCCTCTGGGAATTCATGCTCATGCAATGATGATAATCCAGCTGAGACATCTGTGGCGTACCCCTGCAGGTAACGTCCTTTACAATAAATACAGCATTTTTGCAGCTGCAGATGCTTTGCTTAGGCTCTTGCGGGCAATGTTCTGAGGCTATAGTTAAAGCTACTTCCTCTACACTTGGTTTTTACATCTGAAAATACAGGTTTTGTACAAAGAACTATGCTACAAGGGTCAGGTCACACTGCAGAGCGTGCAGAGAACACCAAAGTTAGGGCTGCATTGGTAACCCAACTTGGCTCCCTTGTGCATCGGTATTAAAATTAAGGCTGGCCAAAAAATTGCTGTCAAAACTTTTTTGGTGCAAAATTAGGTTTTTGACTAAATGAAAATTTTCAGGGAAGTGTCTGATTTCTGCAGGAAATTTCAACTTTTCTTTGGGGAAAAAACCCAAAATAATGAAAAGTAAAAATTGTCCATGGAAAAAAATCAAAATTTTCCACTTCAGGGAGGAAAAAAAATCCTACAAGCTTTAGTTAGGATACAAGGCCAGATCCTCAGCTGGTATCAGTGGGTTCAGCTGTGTTGGCGTCAGTCTTTAACTGTATGATCACGTACCATTTCCTGTTGCCACGCAAGTGGTTCTCCAGCCCTCAATGCGTGAATGCAGCACTTGTTCCTCCCTTTGTCAGCCAATGTATCAAATAGAATTCTGCTCTTGGCCACTTCTGTCATTGTTCGGTTAGCCCTGTCCCTGCACAAATGTGGTATTACTTCCTGGTTTCATGTCATCTCTCCCATCTGTCCTGCCTCAGGCCCCCTAGGCGTGCACAGGGGGACATTATACTAGATGCTACATTTTGGTAAGGACTACTGCAAGGTACGCGTGTCTGCTTGCACACATGTCTACACACACACACACACACGTACGTACACACAAAAGAAGCCACAAATTTGGTCAAAATGGAAAGTCCAAGATTACCACATTTCTGGGTCTTTTTATTGCTATGTTGAGCCTAGATGTCAGTGATTTCCCATTGACCGGGTATTTTTTCTGCTACTTGATTTGTGTCTCTCACATGCCAGCAGGCCTGGATTTCTCCCCTTCCTCTTCCGCTTAGGTACATGCCGTTATGGTAGGAAATGTCGACCCTAGGAGAATTACAAAAAAATCATCAAATACAAGTGTGATTTATCCCAGCCCAGGGAGACCCAACATATTGTTTAAATAACCGTTCTGCCCTTGAAGGACTAAGCAGCCCAGTGCACTGAAGACGGAATTCTCTGCAACCCCAGTGTTACTGCAAAACGAGGGGAAGTGCCCAGAGATCAGACAGCCAGGGCGGGATTATTTAACAAAGTAATAAGGGGAATCCTCATCTCCTGTCAATTATTTTAATAGGCTAGCTGTATTTGGTGCTGTACACTTATTATGCAGGTTTTGATAGTTTTTTGTGCCATCTGCTCTGCTCATCGGTGTGGGTAAAGAATAAAGGGTGGGTGGGGTGGAGGTCGGGGGGGGGGCACAAAAGGTTTCTTGTATGTGGGGTTTTTTTTTAGGAAACAAGAAACAGGGGTATCTACTTACAATCCATAGACCAGTGGTTTCCAACCTATTGACCATTGTGGGCTGCCTATGCAGCTCTCTGTGTGTTGTGTGGGTTGCATCCGTGTCATAATATATGCTACCTGTGCAGCCCTGCGGATGTCACGTGGGCTGCAGCTCTGTGCTGATTGGCCATGAGACCCACTGCCCTAGAGGATTGCTCGTTGTCTAGGACCGAGTGCCAAAGGACCTTAAGAGCTCCGGAGGAATGTCACAACCCCCTCCACCCGCACCTCAGCTGGTGTCAAAGCTCCCTGCTGTGTACCGAGCTCTCCCCCTGGGTTCTGCCGCAGTCCCCGCTCATACCTGGTGCGGGGTGGATTGAGGAGTGGGGATAGCTCCAGTTTTTCCCTGCATCTTTTCTGACTGCCAGAGAGCATGAATCTGGCACGATACTGCGGCCTTGCTCTCTGGAGGATGGGTTATGGAGACGGTGAGTCCAGTCTGCTCTTCCCCGGCAACTTCTGCAGGCCTTTACACCTGTGCAAAGTGACTGTCAAATCCCGCCAGATTAGAATGGTAGGGCTCTGTTCCCACTGCGAATCAGTGGGGCAGGAGGGGAAGAAGACTGTGCAAGATACAGGAAGAGCGCAACACACGTCACACGTTTGTGCAAAAGGGATACGATTCAGAGCTAGACCCTTTCTGTTAAACAATAACAACTTTTCTGTAGTTGATAGATTTCCACTCCATACGGCTAAATGCAGTGCCTTGCATAATGACAGGTTTCAGAGTAACAGCCGTGTTAGTCAGTTTTCATGCAGTTGATAGATTTCCACTCCATACGGCTAAATACGGCTAACACGGCTGTTACTCTGAAACTTTTCTGTGTTATTCCCTTCTGGGATACTTTAGCAAACATGCCAATTAAACCACACGCAAGTCTGACCTACAGTTTTTGCTTCCCGTGTCAGGACAAGTGTTCTGAGCTCACCTATTGTACTGCACCTATTTGCAAGTCGAAGCAGGAGAGGAATCCTGCCAAGTTGCCCCACTAAATAACGTAGAGTTCAAGGACAAGATTTCCAAAAGTGAGTCCTGATTTTTGGGTGCCCAGTGTGAGATGGCTTAACACACTCTGATTTTCAGAAAGTGCCGAGCACCTGCTCTCTTCAAATCAGGCCCCTCAGAGGTGGCCTAGGTTGGGCACCCTGGATCATGAGTCACATTTGAAAACCCAGTCTCTTTAACACATTCATTAAAAATATCCCCACAGTGACTATAGCATCAAGGCAACTCATAGTTACCCTGGGCAATACTTTTAAACCCCACTAACCCAAGAAGGACTACCCCAAGATAATACAGACAGCATATATGAGACGATCACATTCCCAGGAAGCAGGTGTGGCGTTTCTTGAGATAGCACCAGGGAGTTAAAGTATTTTCTGTTTTATCCTCTTGCACTATAATTTCACTTGAGAAAAGTCTGGTCTCAGTCTTTCTGGTCATCGGTTTACGATCACGTCTGTTCTCTGAACTCCCAACTTTCTTTCTCCTCCTCCTTGGCAGCGGTCTGTGAATGGATTGCTGAACTCCTGCTCGGCACAGTCCTACCTTTTCTACAGTTCCCCCTCTCCCCTTTCCCCCCTCCCCGGCGGTTGTTGATAGCCTTTCTACTGTTCTGCGGGTTGCTTTTTGCTTTATTTCTTTACAAAAGCAGAGGCATTTTCTGCATTCAGACTCATGCATCACACCAGCCATCTGATGGCAGGATTGGGCCCCAGCACATTAACATTTACCATCGTGGATGACTCAGAGAATTACAGCCTCATTGCCTTCTGGGTTGAAATCTTCTGCTCATACCAGAGACCTGATTATTTTTTGCATTAATATCATCGTGTTTTTTAAAGACATCCAGGTCAAGGAAAGGAATGAAGGGAAAACTTCAGATTCTGGGTTTCTAGGCCCTGCAATCTGGATTGGCCCATCCTCTCCATGTTTCCTAACCCCCTGCTTCTTTTCAAACTGTTCTTTTCTTCCTCAGAGCTAAACTCTGCCCTAGTAATTGTAGCAGAACCAAACAGAAAGCAGAGAGAAGCAAACATCCCCTGAGGTCAGAGGAGGCAAGGTGGCTGTCATTAAAGATTTTGAAGTACTCTTAGATCTGCTTTCCCCAAAAGCACACTGAACCCTATCCAAAAAGCCAAACCTCCCTTCTGTTTGAAAATCTTTCCAGGAGGATTCCTTTCCTAGATACACTAGGGCTATGCCCTGTTGCAAGGTGAATGGATTTGGTAATAGTCCAGGCTCTTTCTGGTCCAAAAGATTCAGTGATATGTATCGTAGAATTATGCATTCAGTCTAGTTTTATTAATATCCATCATGGCAATGATGTGTGGGAGTCATCGTTTATATGGACTCCTGCTTCTTGGTCTACTCTGATCCCTTTCGCATCAGCTGTAGAAGGAAACACTAAAATATTGCATCCATTAACTGGACACTGCTTTACACCCCATGTTTCAAAGACGCTGACATGCTATTTCCCCAGACTAAAGGAGCTAAGGCAGCTCTGGGGGAAAAGCTATTTGTTTCTCTGGATATCTGCAGCTCCTGCTTCCTGCCAGAAACTGTCTGGCCCTTCATTCCACCCAACTATTAAGATCTACTGCAATGCTTCTTGGAAATAGTAAACATTGCCCTGGGTGCCAGATTTTGCTCTGACGATTTCTGGAGCAGTCCTTTCAGCCCATCAAGCAGGTCTAAATGTATACTAATTGATCTGACTTCATTGATAGAATAATACAGAATGGCTGAGTGGCTTCCCTCCATTCTCCTTCCCCCTGGACTTTTTCTGACACCCCCCCCCCCCAGTATTTCTAATTAGAGTCCCAGATGCTAAGTATAACCCTCCATTGATTATGTTCGGAAAAAGGGGCACAGTCGTTTAAAAAAAATTAGTTGTATGAATGTGGTAGGCACCAAAGACCCACACTAACAACGACAGATGGAAATACACAGCAATGCCAGTCCAAAGTTAAGGAATAAAAAGCTTTACACTTCACCTTTTAAGATCAACACAAGGCAGCATTACCCTGGTGGTGGGCTGTGTGTCTGCTAGGTTTCTATAATGTTGCCCATCACCAAGGTGTCCAGAGTACCTTCCTCAAGAAGTAAACACAGCCATATCTTTCTCCCTCTGTCCCAGCCAGGCCAGCAGCGGCCAGCTCATTGTCAGTGTTGGGATTTCACGTGGTATAGGACGTGTGGAGATGCCCAGATGTTGTAATCAAATCTCTGGATTTTTCTCACTGCTGGAGCGCCATGCCCTATTGAAGTCAATGGGATCTGGATGTGCTCAGTACCTGTTTAAAACAGGCTACAAGGGTCTTAGGCCTTGATTCAGCAAAGCATGTAAGCATATGCTTATGTCCCAGGAACTTAAAGTTAAGCACATGCTTAAGCACTTTGCTGAATCAGTCCAGAATCCAAATGTGTTTCCTGGTTCATCTCTCTCTGTATGTATCAGCCCTTCAGGTGTTTTTCTTTCACTGTTTCTTCTGGACGGTTTTACCATACATCTTGCTAACCCTCTTTCCCCTCCACTCTTCTTAAGGCCATGGCAATGGGAATGATGACGGAATACTACCACTTCATCTTCACTACTCTGGTAAAGTATCAAATCAATGCAACTCCTTTTACTGTCCCCATGTACCGTGAATGAAATGTGAGCAGGTGCTGCATGTTGTCAGTGAGCCGTACGGAATACTTTTTTCTGGGTGTGTCATACAGCTCCAGGACCCCAGAGGGGCGGGGTGAGCCTGTATTAACAGAACAGGAACCAGGAGGTTTTACTTAGCTTTGGTCTAAAATCAGATTTTTTTTAATCTGGCCTTCTCATTGAAGCATCACGTAACTGTTCGTATTAACAGACACGCTGATTCTCCTCTCACGTACACTGCTTTTCATCAGTGTAACTGCGTTTACTTCTCTGGAGTTACTCCACATATACACGAGCGGAGGCAAGAAGAGAATCAGGCCCAAAATATTTGTTCAACTTCTTTTCCTCCCGTAATTTTGATCTCGGTGTGGTTGCTCACACGCTGAAAGCTGAGCGTGTGCACAAGGTCCTTAGCCATTGTGCATGGGATTTGTGGGTGCTGAAATTCAATAGGCGTTGGGAACCTCTCTGCCTGAGGCTCTTTTGAGAACCGCAGCCTAACCCTCCTTGCTGTGGGAGATATTTTGACACTGCAGGTTTATTTTGCATGAGAAGAATTCAGCTTGAAATTATCTTCAGTCTCATTAAACATGGGCTAGTTCCCCTCTGACTCCAGGAGGCATTGTTCTTGGCATATGCTTTTTTTTTTTGTTTTAATTCAGGGTGTTATTGTCTGGGACCCTCCTGAATTTGGTATGATGCTAAAAAAAACTCCTGTATCTTTCCCCTTTAGGAAAGAAACATAATAAACTAACCCTTAAAATTTGTAAAACTTATTTTTCAAATGCAAAAGACGTTTTAATTACTCCTACTGCCATTATCTATTCCAGGCAGCTTTAAGCAGTTCCCAGATAACCTCCTATTAATCAGTCCCAGCTGAGCCCATAGTACATCTTGTGTGTAGGTAAAGCCTGGAGGTGGGGAAAAAATGTTAATAAATTAACAGATAAGTGATCACAATTAATGCCACTTTCCTGAAATAACAGTTATACCATGGGAAAGATGTTTTAATCTATTATTCCTGAAGGCAATGTTTTCCTAGCTTGCAATGCACATTCTCCAGCTTTGACCATACTAGACCCATGGGGTGCTAATGAATCAGTCTATTATGTTATAGTAAATGTTTCTGAAAGGTCCCTAGACAGTGCTGAGTACACTCGATCAACATTTGGCATGGAATGCTTCAACATTTTGCCAAACAGCAAAGCTGAGTTCAACATGTAGGGCCCCCTCTTGATTTTCCTTCTAACGGAACTGGGAGCCAGGATCCAGCAAGATGCCTGAGAAGCCGTTGTTTGGTGTCAAGCATAGCCCTTGCTTCCACATGATTTAGGGTTTGATCCTGCAAGGTGCTCAGCACCCTCAGCTCCCGTTGGGGTCAGCGGGACGTGGCATCTCTAGAAGTGGCTCGGCAGCTTGTAGGATTGTGCGGTGCCCGTACAAAGAGAGGTCTCCCTAACACAGCTGTTTGCGGGTAGCTAAGGAAAGCTGGGGACTCAAACTACTTAGAGTCTGTGCACCAAGTCCAGAGCGAAAGAGCGTGCCCAGGGCAGCATCTCAAGCAGGCGCGGACACCAGCAGAGGAGCTAGAAGTAAGGGGGAAGAGGGCTGATGTTCTGCTGCTTGCTCCACTCATCCAGCTGAGCTCAGGGTCTTCGCTGCACGTTGGGCTGCTCTGAAGAGGGCTAGGGCTTAACGCTGAAACAGTCTGTAGCCGCGCGTGCTGCGAAGGGTGAGTTCAGCACCTGCAGGACTCGGACTCTGCGCCTGAGCGGGAAATTGCACAGCGGAGGACTTGGGGCAGGCACTAAATGCCATCTCTAGAGCCACCAGGGGGAAGGGGAGAGCGTTCAGGAGACAGAACAGAAGGCCGTAATGTTCAAATCATGGGGCCTGCCCAGGTGGGTGTGTGGGGGCCTGATTTTCTGGCACTTAAATTAATATTGAACCTGATTATTAGGCACTTAAATTAAACTGGACTGGCTTTCAGCTGGTGCTGAGCACACCCTACTCCTGTGAAACTCAGCACATCAGAGAGGCAGGTCACTTCGATGTACATCAGTTGATTGTGTTGAAACAGGGACTCAGTAGCGTCTGAAGGCCTAAGCCGAGATCAGGGCCCCATGGTGCTAGGTGACATCCAAACACAAAGAGCTCCGCTGAAGTCAAATGGGGGTTGTCAGTGCAGTTGTTGCCGGATTTGGACCACAGCAAGTCCCCGCCCCTTTCTGTGTGTTTGCAGAGCAGCTAACAGAATAGATCCCTGATCTCTGCGGGCGCAGACTCTCAAGAAGCCGCGCCTGTCATGGAAGGTGGAGCTTCCGCTAAGAACTTTTTGCTGGGCAACGTCAGGGGTGTAAAAGCAGCTCCGTAACTCTGAAAAGCAATGTTCCAGAGAAGGTGGAAGGGGACAAATCCAAAGCACCAGAGTCAGTGATAGAAGGAAAAGGTAGATGAACTGGAAAATGGAAACAGATGCTCCAAGTTGCAGATATAGGAGCGGCAGGAGCAGAAGGTCTGGGAGGAACTAATATGGTGATTTTTTTTCCTTGCAATTTTTGCAACTCAGTTTGAATTCTTAATTGTTCTTTTATCTCTAGAAGCTGGAGAGTCAGATTTCAGCTGAGATTTCAAATGGACTGGAGGAGAATGGAAAGGCTCAAGTTAGCTTCCATGGAAGTGAAATCAGATCCTTGGGGAAGTGAAGGGCTACAGGAGACGCAGAACAGGAGATAGTCACACCCTGAGTATGGGCAGGGTGAGAAGGGAAGCCAGTGCTGGAGGCATGGCAGAGAGGGGAACAGAGAGATAGGAGGTCCTGGACATCAGTTGGAGCTAGCTGGATGGACTTTGTCATGTACAACTAAAGCTGTGGAAGTGAATCTGCTAGCCTCAGAAGTGAATTCACCACATCTTTTCCCAAAGCACTAACAGAAGATATTCTATGCCTAAAAATTCTGATTGCTGGAAGAATGAGGAATATGAAAACTGTTCCCCTGGGGTCGAACAATAGACTAATAAACCCATAGTCTGAGATAAAGATGATGTTAACCATCCAAACCCTGATGCAATTAAATATCTGCATGCTGAGTTCAGTCACCTGGCATCATTTATGAGAGGATATTCAAGATTGATTTTCAGCCTGCTCTTTAACTGGATCTCTGGTTTTCTACCTAAAATTTTGCAGGTGAAAATTTGACCATGCAATTCTTTGTGGGCGTAATTAGTGACTGGACCTGCAAACATCTACATGGTATCAGCTGTGCACTTGGAGGGTGCAAAATAGGAAGCCAGCATTTAAAAATAAAATCAGGCCCTAAAAGCTTAAGGCCCAAGAGCTGCAATGATTCCCAGCTCCTCCATGGAGTGTGCAGTCACCGTGGTCTGGAATGCGCTGGTTTTCTCACACACTGATTACGGTTCTGCATTTGGGGCCAATGCTCTGCCAGCTGTTCCAGAAATTACGAATTCTGCAAGTGGGAGAGTGCACCATCAGGGTCATTACACAGGGTCAGCCTGTGACGTCACCAAAAACCACATTTGCATGGCTAAGCTGGTTCCTGTTGGGTGTCAGGAGACATCAGTGTTCAGCCACTAAGATGCACAAAGGCATAATAAATATCCCAAGTCCTTGCTTCCCCATTGAGAGATTCCCTGTCACCTCCTTGATGAATCCCCTTAAGGAGTTGCCAAGCCTATTCCTAAAGTCGATACATGCTTGCGCAAAGCTTCCTTATCAGGCAGAGCTCTGGCCCTCACTAACTCTTCCCAATGCTGCTCTTGAACAGCTAACGAAATCCCAGCAAATTGTTACGTGTGCTATTCACATTGCCCAGTAACCTCCCAAGCCGCGCCTGTGTGTTTGCAGTACGCGGCCTATACGGGCGCACTGTCCAGTGCAGGAAACAGGATGGTCTGTTCCTTCACTCACCCTTGGGCAGAAGAGAACTGATTGTCAAGCAGCTGTGTGGCTGAAGTGGCATATTGCATGATGCAGGACCATCTCTCTCCTGTATTGAGACGTGCACCCAGTGGTCCCTGCCTCATTGCACAAGCAATCTGGGCCAGATGACTCACACAGGGACTGCCAGAGACTATCAGACAGAAAAACGAGACTTCACCAGCAGGGGATCGATTAACGGTTAAAATATAACCCAACTTTTCAAAATCCCTTCTGAGAACAATAAACGTATACCCATCCTTATCGCTTCAGCCCCTGTGAGCCATAGCAAGGAGACTTCATTACTACCCGCAATAACAAAGCGTTGCCAGAAAAGAAGGCACTGGCCCGTGTGGGTGGACACTGTTCATGGGGGAATTTCCACGTTATTAATCCAAGCCTCAACCATTCACTCCATGCTCCAGAAAGGCTCTCTCCTTAGACAGCCCATGTCACCACAGCGATAAGAGAGGGTTTACAAGTAGAAATGACAACAACAGTTGCTCCCTTTCCAGCTGGAAAGAGAAATAGCTTGCTCAGTTCCTAAGGCTCCCTGTGTTTGCGTGTGTGAGTTGCGGACGTGTGCAGGGGACGGGGGATGTGAAGAAACTATTGAAGTTGAAGAAATGAGACTTGTCTCTAGGCCTGAGAGTGGCTGGATCCCAGGTGTTTGTTCTTTCTCAGGGCGGGGAGCTCCATAGCCTGGGAACATCTGGTCCCCTGCACCCATGGGTCTCCCCCATTGGTGTAGAGTTGCACCGTTGTGTGGGATTGTAGCTGTCATGGAGGGAGAGGCAACCACCGGCAGGTAGAGCGCTTTCCATAGAGGTCTTTGTAGGTCAGGAGACACACCTTCAACTGGACTATGCAGTCCGCAGGGAGCTCTCTAAGCAGCTTATGTGAACCCCCTGCTGCAGTAGCAGCTGGCCCTGGAGCAGGTCGGACCATGTGCTTGTGAGAAGCAGCGGGTGCCGCTCTGCTGGGATACAGAGCAAGATTGAATCCATGACTTGGCTACTTCCTTTGACAAACTCCTCCATTAGATCTGGTGAGGAAACCCCCCTGGGCACAGACAAGCTGTGTCCCGGTGCTGAAGGGGGTACAGTATGCTAGGTGGGATAAAGGTGCATGGAGTTTACGTAGAGCAGCCATTTCAAAATTGCCATGTTCCCTAAATCCTGCAATGGGCATTGCACGTGAATACTGGTGATTACGCATAAATAACACGGTAGAGAATGACTGGATGTGACAGAGATGAACATACTTCCCAAGTTACCGTTTAGTGTCCAAATCATCCCCAATTTGCACTTTGGGTTTTTGACACTGAACAAAGAACAGCGGCCTGTTGGGTTAGCGTTGGGGGTCAGTCAGGCTGTTCCTCTAATCTTGTAGGGTTTTGTAAACCCCTAAATCAACACCCCTTGCACATATCCTGCAGATCTAGGGACTTCACCTCATGTCATTGCAAAGTTCCCAGCCTTCCACACAACTTGGGGGTCCCCTCACTTGTACTGTTGATGACTATTTACATAGGGTGACCAGACAGCAAGTGTGAAAAATCGGGGCAGGCGTGGGGAGTAACAGGTGCTATATAAGACAAAGCCCTGAATATCAGGATTGTCCCTATAAAATCAGAACATCTGGTCACCCTATATTTACATCAGTGTAGCTAACTCCTCTCACGGCCAGGGGTCATTTTGCACGTACCCTGCCCACGTTAGCCTTCTCTTGCAGGCCCTTTGAGAACTCCTGTATTGTCTGTCTTGTGGCTAACAGCACCCCCACCCAGGGATGGTTTAATAACCAAAATGGTTCAAACAATCCCCCGAGAGACCCCAGAGGGAACCTCATACCCGTAACACAAAAGTTTATACCCAGCCCTGGTTTAGTCGGCCACACACAGAGCTCTTCCTTTGTCCCAGTGTGCTACTTCACCCTACTGCTCTCTGCGAGGAGGCCCCGGGCCCCACCAAGGCGTGCCTCTTCAGTAAGCAGGGTTGGCCGGCCTCAGCCCTGCAGCCCCGCTGGGACGAGCTGCCCTGGTGCAGTCAGTAATAAAGAATCACGGGGCTGAGGTTCCAGAAAGTGTCATTTGCTGTAAAGGAAGGAACCCAGCGGCATTTTAACTTCCCAGCAGGGATCCTTTTCGTGGCTCACATTTCACCCCAGACCTGGTCTCTGACAGGTCGAGCGGTGTGGCACATCATGGTGGTAGTTAAACACTGACTTTGATGAGGCGGTGTCAGGGTACAATCGAATCCGGCAGGGAAACCCATGCATTCGTATTGCAGGAGCACCTAGCGGCCCCAGCCATGTCCCAGGACCCTGTTGTGCTAGGCAATGTACAAACACAGAACGAAGAGACAGGTCCAGCCCCAAAGAGTGTACAATCCACGACCGGGACAAAATAAAACATTTTGTTTCATTTTGGGGTGTTTTTCATCCCATTCTGTGGGGTTTTTAATTTGTCTTAATTTCTAAACAATGCCATTTTGAAACAAAAAGTCAAAACAGAAACTCAGCACTTCCTAGAATTTGGCCCAGGAGAATGTGGTGCATGCAAACTAGTTTTTTTTTTATTGCCTCTCATCTGTTTTAGAGAATGAATCAGCAGAGAAGATGGTAGGAATGGGATGATCTGGGATTACAAAATCAAGAACTGTTGCAGAAACTGTTCAAAATAAAATATGGTTAAAACAACTCATTAAGCAGATTATTCCAGGACCGAAGCCCCCTCCTGACTGCCATTCTCTGCCATGCTCACTCACGATTCCCTCATTTGTGAACTCCCAGGAAACCTTGTTCAGCTTCATCATCCAGGCAGCTTCCATTTCCCTTGGGTGAGCTGTTCTTGTTTTTTGCCGAGCTGAACAGCTGTGGTGTGTGCCTGGCATGTCTCGGATCCAAAACCCATTCAGATTTGTTTCTGAGGTTTGAGCTACAGACCTCCCTGTACTGAAGTTAATATTCAGATGTGGCAGAGCCAAGAGATGCATTAAGGAAGTGCGCTTACGAAGGACTGCAAATACCCCCTCTCTCCCTGCCTGCTGAGTGACAGCTTTGGGCTGGTTGCCAGGCGAGCTAAAGACTGCCTGGTTTCTCTGTCTCTATACAATAAAAAAAGAGAAAGGGCACACTCATTCATTTTCAGACTGTATACACTGGTTGTAATGTCAAGAAATTCATCTTAGCTCCTCTTCTGTAGTGATCTGCAAATTGACATTCCAAATTTGGAGTTATTCTGTCATCCAAGGCACCATCCAGGACTCAGCACTCAAAGCAAATTCTCCAGGAAAAAACCTTGGGGAACTTTTATAGGATTAAACTCAAATGCAGAAACAATGCCTTTTAAGACCTCATTCTGCTGGGTGTAGTGGCCAGGCACCAGTTTCAGGACTAGGGTTGGATGACATTTTTCAGTCAACTTTTTTTCACGGAAAAATGCAGATTTGAGTCAACCAAAACATTTTGCAAATTCTTACTGAAATTTGGAAATGTTTCATTTCAATATATTGAAAGAAAAAAAAAAGATTTTTCAGTTCAAAATGACTTTGTCTTTTGATTTAAAAAAACTTGAAAACTAGACATTTCATTTTGGGTTGAACAAAACATTTTGTTGTTTTTCTTTGTTTGTCTTGTGTGTTTAGAGTGTAAAGTCTTTGGAAGGGAGATTGGCTTTTCCTAGATGTATGTAGCACAATGGAGCCCTGATTCCATTGGTACTATCATGATACTCATAATGATGGTAAGGGACGGAGCTCTACACCCTGCATTCAGTACGGCAGCATCCTGTATCCCACTTTCTGTGAACCCTGAACTCTCCAGCTTAATACAAAGGGCACCACATTAAACAAAGGAAATGCGACAAATAAAAGAAAGTCACAAAATGTTAAAACTGATTTCTCTCTTTTAAGGATCTTTATGCATTAGACCTAGAACCATATCGCTACTCTGGAGTGAACCTGACTGGCTTCCGGATCCTCAACGTGGAGAACCCCCACGTGTCTGCCATCACTGAGAAATGGTCCATGGAGCGGCTGCAGGCCACGCCCAGGGTGGAGTCAGGCCTGCTTGACGGAGTCATGATGGTACGATGGTCACTTTAAAATCCCTTTGGCGTGTGGGTGTGTTGTCCCTGGCTGTGCAGAGAGGGGCCCTGACACAAACGCCACTCCCGTTATATCTGCTCTGGGTGCTGCCTGGGTTCCGGGGAGGGAGTTATTCCTCTAGGATTTTACTGAATAATTGACATTTATTTTCTACTGATTATTTCTCTGCTTTTGAAACTTAACAAAGGATCGTAGTTGGACGTCCCTCTCATAGCTGCATCGGGCCATATTCACCCTGGTGTATCAGCATGTGTGTCAATCACAGGGGATCTACATCTCCTTGGCCCATCATCCATAAAAGTCTGATGTGTGAAGATAGCTGCTGTTCTTCTCTAAATACAGCAGTTCAGTGCTGATCGCTTCAGCGTTTAGTTAAAATCCAGAAGTGGATGGATAGGTGATCCATTGGGGGGGAAAAAAACCCTTTTTAGATTTCATACAACTTTAAAAATCAAAAAAGCATCCGTGCACTCTCATTTTGCTAAACGTGGTCTCCCCTTCAGGGACTAGATCTGAAGGTAGTTATTCACCAGTAGGTGTGTGAGCAGTGTGAAGCTACCACTGACAAGGATCTGAGTACAAGAGAAATGCACATTTGGTGTCTTGAGAGTTTTGCAGCTGCCCCTGCTGCAGATAAGTCCCCTGGAAGCCTATGTTGACCATGCAAAAGTCCATTAATGGCTCCGAGCATTATTTATTCGTAGTGGAGCCAGTCAGGAGAAAACCCACAAACATTTGTGTCAATATTTTCAAATTGTAAAAATTTCCACCAGCCCTGTAATTTGGAGAAAAAACTGGAAGAAAACTGTGGAAAGGCCAAGAAAATCGTTCCTTTATTGTTTTTAATTCTGAAATTTGGAAACATTTTGACCAGCTCTAATTGTTCTTATTGTTATTGTGATTATTTCTTATTAATAATAGTAATTCTTCGCCTTTCTCTAGCACCCAAAGGCTCCAGCGGGGGCTGTACAAAAATATAGTAAAAGACTCACATCTCAACCAACTTGTCTCAGGACAACCCATCCCAGGGATCCTTCCTCATGTACTTAGTTGCTCTCTATTGTAATTGCCTCTTAAATACAACAAAGCTCTCAGTACTGTACCAATGTTATTACAGTCCATCTGTGTGGGCCAGCATGCCCGCGGGCTGCAGCTTCCGTGCAGCTATATGACTTGTCTTAATGGTGCGACCCGCTGTCACGTCTCCTCCACAAAATCTGGATGCACATAGACTGATTTGAAGCTGTTAGTTCAGGCTGTTGCGTGGCTGGGCCATGCAGGGACCGCGACTAGGTGTGGTGTAAACGGGGGAAGTGCCCCGCACAGTATCTGCTGGGAACGAGAGGCAAAGGAGGGCAGCTGTTTCTTTAATCAGATAGATACTGTATTCCTCATGGGAACACGCCTGGATTTCTCTGCGCCGGCCCCATGCACAAAGCTCACTGCACTGGAAAGGTCCATGATGCATGTGCGACAAACCCTGGTGCTCCCAGGCTGAGGAAGGAACCCTCTCCTCATTGCCCTGCACAAGCTGCCTTTCAGGTTGGGGCAGACGGGTGCCCCAAGGGGTCACCATCCACGAGCACCCTGCTCCTGAGAACAGGCACTGGGAATTCTGAATGCTCGTGCCGCACGTTCAGCGGGAGCCATGTCACCAGGGACGTGCCTGCCGCTGTGACAAGCTCTTGCACGAAACTCACCAGAGGGTTGGGCTGGATTAAGGACAGCCGTGTGATATTTCACAGGGCACAATCCTGCAAGATGCTGAATGCCTCCTGGGAGGTTCACCGGCACCCCTGCCTGCCGCAGACTTCACTGGGAGCTCAGTACCTGGCAGGATAAGGCCTGCAGTTTGGAGCGAGTGATCTGGAGAATGGGAGCAGAGTTGACACGCTTGTGTTGGGAGCTGGGGTTCCCTGCCACGCCGGAATGCTGCTGCTGTGGGGGTTGGTAGCAGCTCCACACCCCAATAGTTTCTACTGGGAGGATGCTGCATCCCACACAAGTACTGCCTGGTTTCCTCCTGTCCTGCCTCTTCACCCCAACCAGGATCCCCGGGTAAAAGGCTCCGAAATTGTCACTGGTGCATTTGCGTCCTTTCCTCCTTGAAGTGCCTGCCGTCTGTCACTGAGGGTTTCTCCTGAGTGGAGGTTTCCACCATTCTCCTTCTGCCTTTGGCCCATAGCAAGCAAGGCCCCCAACCGGACACATTCTGGGCTTCTGACTCCTCAGGGGCCCCAGGACTCCAGAGGGACTAGAAGGTGCCTTATTCACAGTGTGGATTTCGGGATGGTGCTCCTCTGTAGGGATGGGCAAGCAAAGGAGGAAGTGCTCCACTGTTCCGACCCAGAGACGGCTCATAGCTTGGGTCCTATTACTCAGCGTGTGCATCAAGGAGGGCTGAGAAAAACCAGAGAGAGACCCAGTGCATATGGAGCCCTCAAGGGGAGTGACAGTGAGAAAAAGGCAGTTTGAGAACCACCCCCCCCCCTCCCGAGCGCCATGTCCATCTCTGCTCAGGGTTTCAGAGAGAAATAGCCGGCAAGGGCAGATCAGATATCTGGTGGCTGGTTTGTGGGATTTCCCAACACTAGAGGGAAGGATGCATTAGGAACATGTCTTAATTTCTGACCATAAGGAGTCTGCTTTCTTAGCCCCATCCCCAGAGTGCCACATGGCCTCGTGAGAAACTTCGCTCTCTCTCTGCATGTCGGGAGCCAAGCACATCTGGGGCAAGGATGGACCTGGCGGCTGGCAGAAACGAGGACAGCAGCATCCCTTCTTCTATTGCAGCAAGACAGCTGGTAATAACCAGAGGCACGGGCGTGATCTTCCCCCTCCCCAGTATGGCTTGTTAATCTTCTGCTCTGCCTGTCACAAAGGGGCATTATGATAAAATGCTACTCTGAGGTGATGCCTGCATGCTGGCTGTGATTTCCAGCCTCTCTCCTCGCCAGCAAAGACTGAACCAGCATGCTGTGGGCTTTCTAATAAATTTTTTTAAAAGTCTTCTTCCAGCAGAGCTGAAAGTTTCTCTCTGCAGCTAGGAGCAGCATCCTTCTAACATCAGACATCTCTGCCCAAGACATCTGAACCCTCCCTTCTTACTAAACCGAGAAATGAGGCAGGCACACACTAGAATTCTCTCCCTTTTTATGCCTTCTGGTCAATGTCAAACATCAAAACGGTGGGCCAGGCTTTCAGAAGTGGGGACCCCAAGCTTTGGAAGGAAACAGGGCAACTGGGAGTAAAGTTACTCCATCTCCATACATGTGAGATTTGCAGGAGGACCCATTGTATTGGGAAAAATAATTCCCTCTACTCCAGGAGTTTACTGGTTCAGGTTCTCTGCCCTGGGAGAAGCAGAAGCTCAGTCTGCATGACCATAATTGTCTCTTCTGGCCTTAGAATCTGGGGATCGCTCCCCAGTGACAAATGTCTCTCTCTTGCAGCTGAAATTTTCCTTGTAGCAGGCTCTCCCCCTATTTCCTGCATTTCTTTGACTTTTTTTTTAATCTTTTCTCTTGTTCCGACACTTCTCCAAAATACCTTCTAAATTATTTCATTTTTATAGACGGCACATACCCCTGGCTTTGCATGACCACGGAGAGAGACTATTGCACAGAATGTACGACAAGACCTCAGTTAGTAGAACCCTTTGTTATGCGTGCACTAAGATTTGGTTGTTTACCACCTCTTGTCAATAGCAAGGTCACAAAGCTCTCGGACCTCTGGTTTTAGGGTCCTTCCTCCCTACCAAATATGACCCCCCAGAATACAAGCCTTGGGGATGTAAGAGCTTCCTCTTTGTTTTAAACTATCTTTAGATTATGCGATGGGTGCACTATTTTCCGTAACTACTCGAGCATACTGGGTAGGGTGACCAGATGTCCCGATTTTATAGGGACAGTCCGGATTTTTGGGTCTTTTTCTTATATAGGCTCCTATTACCCCCGACCACCTGTCCCAATTTTTCACATTTGCTGTCTGGTCACCCTAATACTGGGGCCTGCTGTACTCTACTCAAATGCACACTGAGTCTCTGCAATATCTGCAGTAGTGGTGGATGATAAGAACGGAAGTCGTTTTAGGAGCACGCAGAGGCCACAGGTTTAATGAGCCAGCCCTGTTTGAATTGCTGTTCACCCTATCTTTGTGCTTCAGAATCATGTCCTTCAAGCCTCTCCTTCTCCAGCAGCTAAGTCAGGTGTCTATCAAACTCAGTCCCTTCTCTGGGAGCTTATTGCGTGGCTAAGTTCTGCCTGATTTCCTGTGTACTCCCAAATACAGTTTGGATGGTGGGTCTGATTTTCAGCTATGCCGTCACTTGCTCACTTGAGTTTGCATGGTCAGAGGCACAACGGGGAGCGCTCAGCCACTGAACTCCCGTCCCTGGATTTGTGGGTATAACCCCTCAGAGGCATGAAACTCTGAGTACAGGTGCTATTTGCAGGTGGAAAACCATGACTGCCAAATCCGAGGCTAGCACCGAACCTGCCATTCTGGCCCTTTGCTTTCGAAACACGCCTCACCTTTGAGCGGGGTTTATCCCCAGCCACCCTGGCTCTGCCTTTCTAATTTTGGAAACCTTTACCATGGCACCTGGAGGCTCACTCCTCTACTATGAAAACAAAGTCCAGATCCCTTCATCCTTTCTTGTAATGTAGGTTCTTTACTGCTGGTGACCTTTTGGTTAGCTTACACTGCACTCTCCATGCTAGTGTGGGATGGTGACTAGAACTCCCTAGAGGGTTCCACATGGGAATTCATGGCTAATGCACATTAGCTGTAAGTATCTGTGAACTCACCCTGCTTGCTCGGAGTAGAATATTGTGCTGTCTTCTCCTCTCTAGTATTCCAGAACAATGCAATAGAAGAGAAAGGCAGCATGGCCCAGTGGGGAGGGCACTGGCTTTCTTCCCAGTTCTGCCAGGGACCTATAGTGGGATCTTGGGCAAGTCTCTTTCCTGATGTGTGGTTATATTTCTCTCCTGCCCCATGCCTCTCTTGTCTGTTTAGCTCTTGGAGATAGGGCCTGTCTCTCCCTATGTGTTTGTAGAGTGTCTAATACAATGGGCTCTCAGCTGGGGCCCGTACATACCACCATCAAACAAATAATAATTATACACCATCTGTGTGCTTAAACGTGTTCCAGTATCCCCCAGACTTATAAGACCCAGTATCCTGTCCCTTAGTGTTGTAAAGATACACCAGCGGGATGTAGGCCAGGCTCTTGCTCTTCACGCTTGGGAGGAATAAGGTCATGGGAATGATTGCCAACCTGGGACAAAGCATTTTCTCCTCTGCCACACTCCACTGTTAGATATTTGATCTGTAGTTTGCTATATTGTTTGATTTTTTACAAATATGGCTACTATTCTTGGGTCTTTGTCATCCACTTTTGTGAAACCAGCAAGGAATGTGTTTTTAACTAGTGGGATTTCCCCCCATCCCTCTTTTCGAAGTGAAAAAAAAAAACACTTTGTCAGTGTCTGGAGGTGGGGTGCAGTGTCACAAAGCCATTCCAAACCACCACCACCCCACTGGCTGTCACATTGTACACCAATAGCCCCCTGGTCCCCACTGCGTGAAATTTCCCAGTTTCATCATGGATATTTCATGGAAGCAGGACTGTCAGGCATCGCCACCTGGGTGAAGATTTCACAGCACCAGCACCCAAGAAAAACTACCAGGGTGGTGGGGGGAATTTTTATTCAGGGTCCAACTCCTCACCTTGAAACTCATCTTGAAATGGGGATGCTTTGCTTTAGTTTTCTCATGAGGGCAGCTCTGATTTCTCTGTGTTGTCTCGTGGTTCTAAGAGGGACTAAGAGTCAGGAGAACAGAGTTCTGGTCTTGACCTTGGTCACTTAACTTTTCTGTTCCTCATTTTTCCCATCGATAAAATAGAGATACCACTATTTTTCTGTGCTACCACTTTGAGATCCTCAGAGAAAAGGGGCTACATTAAAAAAAATCTTTTTATATCTCCTGTTCGTCTGACATTTCACTAGAAAGGGCTCGCAATCTTTTCTGCGTGACAAACAGACAGTACAGTGGTAGGTGCATTAGAGATACCTAAAAAAGAAGTAGCTAGAGAAATGACATTCTTGTCGTCTGTGATTTAAAGAGATGACTATGGCCTTTTAGTGTAAACGAACACATACGGGGAAAAAACCTTCTGAAGAATTTCTTTGTTGTGTACATAACGACCCATTTAGAAAATGAAAAGAACAACAAAAACACAACTTCTGCCCACAAAGCAAACCTATTTGCTGTTCCATAGCTTTAGCTATTTCAAAGTTCTGTTGAAGTCTGAAATTTCAGCCGGAGAAGACATTTTCTGGCCTGATGGGTAGGCCTGTTAGGGTTAGGAATGGTTGAAATTTTTTCAGCCTTTTTTAAAGGGGTTTCACAAAACATGGTTTTTTACACCAAGGTTGTTATTTCTGACAACTTTTTCAGTTTTTACATTGGGGGGAACTTCCCCTCACCACCATTTATTTTTACTTTTTTTTTTTTAAGTGGAGGGAAGAATAAAAGAACACGAGAAGATGTGTTTTCTCCCACAATTTTGAAACAAAAAAGTAAAAATGTGGAGTGGGATTTTCCCCACCAAAATGAAATTAAAAATTTCAAAACAAAGAAATGTTCTCCAGAAACTTTTTGTCCAAATCCAGAAATAATTCAGGAATAATTCCAAATGAAACAAAAAATCTCCCCCCTTCTCCAACCCTCCCCCCGCACAGAGTCATGAAACATGATAACTTTTTTTAGATCAGCTCTTCTTTGGATAAAGAATGGATAGTTCCAAATCTACCCCCCAGGCGGGAATTGAGGGCCTGCTTGTCTGGTTGCAGTGCGGGGCTTTTCAAGATACGCTATAGCTCGAACAGACATTATGGGCTTCATAGATTCATAGCAGGAATCATGGAGCAAGGTTTCCCATGGCCTGTGTTATACAGGAGGTCAGACTAGGTGATCTGACTTTGAAATCTGTGAATCTCTAGAAGTTTGTTGAGCGCACCGTTGTAACGACGTAGAGAATACAGCTATGTTCTGCTCCCTTTCAGTCCATGGGAGTTTTACAATTGATTTCTGGGAGCTGGATATGTGGCCTTTGATTACACTCAACTAGGGCTGAACAATTAGATCTCTCCATTAGCCAGAAGTCAGTGTGACTGTAGGTGTCCTTGCAGTGGTCAGCTGGTTCTTGCATTAGACTTTGTTTTTTATTTATCCAGTGCCCCCCCTCCCCTGTTTTACCAGTGGTGCCAACTGTCCCATCAATCTGCTCTCCAATGAAATATTGTACCCAGGCCTTCCCCACACACACTCACAGCCCCCTGCTGCTGGCAACTGTGTGTGCTGGAGGGTGTTCAGCCTGCAGTTCCCGGACTGATCAGCAGCGTCGGGCTGATCCGCCGGCAGGATACAACCCCTCAATACCGAAAGCCCTGCCCTCAGGGAAGCTGTGTGCAAGTGTGTTTCAGGCGCAAGGGAGGAGAGATGTCAGGATGCAGGCAAGAAGACAGAGGCAACCTCTTTCATTTCTCTGAGAGACGTATGAGCAAGAGGGAGGAGAGAATGCGGGGGGGGGGGACAATTTAGAGAAGAAGCTTCTGCAGCTTTGCATGAGATGGATCACCGGTTTTCCAAATGGAACCGTCACCAAATTGCTCTGCCTCATTATTGTCTTTTTGCTTTGGAACGGTTATCAACCCAAATGCTGTTCCCCTTTATTTTAGACAGATGCTGCCCTGTTGTACGACGCAGTTCACATCGTCTCAGTGTGCTACCAGCGAGCCCCACAGATGACCGTTAACTCCTTGCAGTGCCATCGACACAAAGCCTGGAGGTTCGGGGGCCGCTTTATGAATTTCATAAAAGAGGTAAAAGCATGATTTGCAGCAACAACTGCGTCCTCCCTATTGATGCAAACCTTCCGTCGGCAACGTGGGGGTGGAGAGCAGCTGTTCAGAGCCCAGAATCAGGAGATGCACAGTGGCTAGACAATGCACTTACGAGCACTATAGACAACCCTTGCAGAGATGGATGGGAGCAAGGATACAGAAGTCAGATTGTTGGTATGGCCCCTTTGGGACCAGATAAAATGCACTTGAAAGTAAATGTGGTGATAGAACAGACTGTGCAGCTTTCATCTGATAAAGGCCAATAACCAGAGTCTTAAGATTGCTGGGCTAAACTGAATCCTGGTGAAACACCCCTGACTTTGGTGGAGAGAGAGCAGGGCTACACCTGACCAGTCACAGTGGTCCAGTAGATAGGATCTTGGACAGGGAACCAAGAACCCCAACTTCTATTCCTAGCTCAGGTGTGACCTTGCGCTTGTACCCTTTGCCTGTCTTGTTTCCAGCCACTGCCATAACTGTTTGAATGTCCGTCCCCCCATTTGAAACTGGAGATGCCTGGTGCCCCATTCATCGGGGGCTAGAGGTGGGCTGCTTTGATCTGTGTATGTTGAGGCCTGGTATAAAAAATATCCCTGATGCAGGTAAATAGTGTGTGAAAACTCAACTCCTAACCAGGAGACAGCCAGAGCTCTTGGGTGCGCTGGAATATTTTTACAGGAGGCATTTCAGAGTATCACCCCAAGTGTGTCTGTGAATGAGAGTCCAGGCCTGGATTGGGGCCTGTCAACAGTTAATTGTACGAGTGCATTTGTTGATCTAAAACAGATCGTGTAAACCATCGTGAGTTACAATTCTTGTTAAATGTTTGCTGGTGGTTGATCTTCACCCCTGTGCAAAAGGCTTGCGTGAGGCTTATGCACTATTTACATCTTACACCCTCAAAATAGTTCCAGTGGGGTCACAGCAAGACGTGAGAAATGAGCTGAACCCTCCAGTGCTGTTACTGACGCTCACCTGTGCCTGCTCTGGGCTGCTCTCATTACAAGGCGGTTTCCGACCAGAGGGAGAGCTGTTTGCCTTCTGCAGGAACTTTTGGTTGGTGTCTACAAAAAGCACTTGGCACAGGTCTGGTGGCAAAACTGGCAGCGTCTTACATCTCTGCCCGTGTGCTGATTGCCCAGTTTTGGCAGAGCGGTGGATTTAGTAAGATGGGAGTCCGGGAAGTGAAGTGGGAACTTCATTTCCTCTGTTTTGTGTAATTATAAATTCCCTGGGTTCAGCCCATGTAACTGTTTGTTTGGCTTACGCATGCAAACAGCAAGCTTACCAAATCACAGCACGGCGGGGAGGCTGGAACAAGGAGCGCACCTGTGAGAGCAGCCATGCTGGGAGCTACTTTCTTACCATGCCTGTCCTCTGCTTACTTGCTGTGTTTCTCCTCCTGCCAGTGGGAGACGATCCTAGCCTGAAAAAAACGAACCAAGAGTGAGGGGTGAGTGACAGATCCCTAGTGCTGTGCTAAGGGCACGTTGCAGGGCCTGGGATGTGGTCCTGCCAGTAGATAGGTTCAAGCACTCTTGGGATTGCTTTGTGATTAAGGGCTGGATTCTCAGTTACACAAAGGCCCCTTTACACTGCTCTGGCTGCGCCTTTTAACATGGGAGTCGTATAATCAGGCCATAGTAATTTATTCTATTCCTGGAGCCATGGAAATAATTCTCTCTCTTCTTCCCAGGTTTTGCAATGGTTAAATTTAACTCTCTTGTTTTGAGGCAGAAAAGCCAATCAAAAGATCATTATTTATTGTTCTTTCTTATCTGTATTTTGGTAGTGCCTAGGGCCCATCAAGGTCCCCTTGCGCTAGGGCCTGTACACACAGAGTGGGAGAAAGTCCCTGCCCTGAAGAGTTTACAATCTACATAGACAAGACAGACCCAGGGCAGGAGAAAGGAAAGATTATCCTCCTTTTACAGGGACATTGAACTGCCAGTTCGCAGGATCTGAAAATCTCCTCTTCTCTCTCTTGGTTTGTTCCCTTCTGCAATGAGCGGCTCCTGCCGACTGCCAGAAGAAAGTGTTTAATAATTTCATGGGTTGCCGCCTTTTGCAAATTACCCTGAGCCCTCCACTCCAGTGCCCGCCTGTTGTTCCCCTTCCTGGCACTCTGTCAGCTAGTTGCAGGGATAAGCTTCCTCCGTTGCAGCCAAAACACATAATAACTGTGCTCTCTGAGTGCTGGAAAGGACAAAAAGGCAAACGCAGAGGGATGTCCCGCTGCAGAGACCAGGCCCCTTGGCCCCATGTTCCTCAGGCAGAGAATTGTGCCAATGTTTGTTCATGCCGCACCAGCCAACACACACTGAGGCCTTGTCTTCAGCAGGATTTTTTCAGAGCTGTGATTCGCCCGGGGCACAGCCTGGCTTGTTATCACTCGTCAAGGGCATCCGTCCTGCGTGGGAACTGCCGCCCTGAGAATGTCTGGGGGGTGGTTTGGACTCCTCCCACTGCAGCAGCAGCCGAACAGGACACGGGGATGAGACTGGGCAGCTCAGCATCCCGCTGAAGTATCTGAGGAAACCAGGGGGGTCGCCTCGTTGGCTAGCAGGCTGCTGTCACCTACCAGCGTCTGCTCAAGAGTCTCGTAGCGGAGCAGGAAGCCAGGACCAATGGGCAAGGCAGAGGGAGGTGAGGCCGATAGTCCCGTGGCCTCCCTTCTCAATGCCACCACACTCTAAGGCTCCAGAAATGCGGGGGCCTCCCAAGCACAGGGCATCCTGAGGCCAGCACCAGCCAGAGATTTAACATAAATTAGCTTCAGAACAACCTGCTCTGCAGAGGGCAGAAGACCCCGGTCGGCTATCTGGAGAGGTGGGCTGGGGGAAGCAGCTGAGCTGACCCTTCCTTGTCCCTTTTATTTTTTTGGAAATGAGAAAGCAAAGGGGGACAGACCCTCCTGGGTGACAGACACGTGCCGTGTCTCCTCAGAGGGAGACGTGTCTCTGGGCACAGGGGTAAAGCAGACTGAGGAAGAGGGGGAGCACTCATTGCACCACCCTAGGGAGAGGGGGAGATGTGGGGGAGCGCTGCCGATGGCTGCCAGGGAAAGGAGGGGAGCTCTCCTTGGCTCTAGCTGCCCCTGCCTGTGCTCCGTTTCCCTGGTGCCATTGAATTAACGTGACACCTTCCTGCCTGCGGTGGCGAAGCAGGAGAGTTAGAGCCCCAGAGAGGAGTTGACACACTCAGTACACATCTGTGTTTGTTTCCGACTCAGTACTTCAAACACGGTGTGTGTTCACTGCGTCCCGGAGAACTTCCCAGCTGTAGTTCCCACCTGCATGCTTAACTGGCAAATTGAGTGCAGCCGTCCACAAACATGCAGGGCAAAGGGCCTGTGAGGTGGGGGGACCAGCATTCCTTCAGGAATTAACCAGCCATGTCCCGGGGGAGAGTGGAAGGGGTTTGATCAGGGAAACATGCCAGTCATCCCTGCAGCTTGTGCCACCTTCATCATCAGGGGATATTTCTGGCTCACCCCCCCAGGGAGATACACTTGTTGGACAAGAGCATGCTGCAGATGAACTCTGCAAGTGGAATGAGACAAACCAGTAAAGCGTGCTAAGAGTCTGGCATTTCAGAAAGGGAACAGGGAAATACCAGCCTAAAGTTCAGAGCGCGGCAAGCATACTTCACTTGGTGTGCATGGGAGGATGGAACGGCTGTCCTGCATTCAGGGAAATGTCACAAGAAACAGCAGAAGAATTGCCTCTCGCTGTCCCTGGACATTCCAGGGTCAGCACTGCACACGGCGGTGACATTAATCACCACTTAGCCTACAGGAGCAGCAGCTGTTCTTCCGAGTGCTCTTGCCCCTTAAACCAGGGAGGTTAATTTCTGTGCTTTTGTTTATTCAAACACCAGGAGAGTCGCTCTGAGACAGAAAGGCAGGGACAATATCATTGCACTTTTCATCAAAGTGGGATTGGCTCCAGATCCATCGGCAAATCTCCCTTCCCCCAAATGCCGTGCTATTCCTCCACCCAAGAAGGGGGCTGCCGTTCAAGAGAGCTGCGTGCCCATGGGGCCAGTGCAAACCCTTAAGCACGTGCTCACGTGCGTTGCTGAACAGGGATGGACTTCTGAACTGGGGCCGAGAAGTTCAGAGACCGACCTCCCACATCCAAAGAATCTGAAAAGTTATTTATGTTTATTTTTTAAAAGAAAAAATAAGCAGAGAGAGGGTTTTGTCATTGTTGGGTTTTGTAATGGTGTCAGTTAATGATTCATTTGGCTGGTGCTACTATCAGCAGGTCTCAGAGAGAAACATATTCGAATGGTCTGAGCACAGGATTGGGAGCCAGGAGCGACTGAGGTCTAATCCCCACCCTGGTCTAGTCACTGAGGCCTGGTGTACACTTCAAAAGTTTTAGGGGTGTAACTAGTTAGGGCTGCGAAGTTTCACTTACATAATTATGCTGGTAAAATTCCTATATTGGTATAAGGGGCTTTGTACCAAAAGAGCTTATTTCTCTTTGCCAAACTGGAACAAGCATTACTCTCGTGAGCACTTTTATATGAGTCTACCCTGGTGTGCAGGGTTGCTGCTGTAAAACAACAGGCGCAGTAAAAGTGGCAATGGGCCAAATGCTCTAAAGGGGTTGGGGCTTGTGATGCTCAGCCTCATAACTCCTGACTCGTAGGTGCCTGGAAGACCACTGCAATTCACATTGCCTGATTTAAGTGCCTAGCTGCCTATACAATGAATGCAAAGTATCAGCGGGGGCAGCTGTGTTCGTCTGTATCCCCAAAAACAACGAGGAGTCCGGTGGCACCTTAAAGACTAACAGATTTATTTGGGCAGAAGCTTTTGTGGCTAAAAAACCCACTTCTTCATTCAAACAACCCACTTCAAACGTTCATTTGGAAGCGTAACACCATCTATTTGGGTTTCAATAGGGACTGGGAGTGGCTGACTCACTACAAAAGCAATTTTCCCTCTCTTGGTATTGACACCTCCTCCCTGACTGAATTGGCCTTGTCAGCCCTGGTTCTCCACCTGTAAGGTAACTCCCTTCTCTTCATGTGCCAATATATACTTATGCCTGCATCTGTAATTTTCACTCCATGCAACTGAAGAAGTGGGAAAGCTTCTGCCCAAATAAATCTGTTAGCCTTTAAGGTGCCATCGGACTCCTCGTTGTTTTTATACAATGATTGGGCAAAGATAGGCACCGAAACTGAGATTCACAAAAGCCAGCAGGCTAAGCAGGGAGCCACTGAAGCCAGCCTGTGGGAGATGGGTGCTAAATGCCACCCCCTCACAGAGATCGGGGCCAGTCCAGGTGGCAGGGAGCGGTGGCTCTGCTTGCAGTTCTCAGCCAGGACCCCTCTTTCGAGTTAGGGTCCCTAGGCCATTTTAGCATGAAGCCCAGGACACGGGGGGAGAAGGAGAGCAACCTCCCTCGTAACATTCAGCCCGGTGGTTCGGACGCTCACCTGGAAGAAGGTAGCCCCCCTGTTCAAGTCCCCCCTACCCCACCTGAAGGGGGAAAAAAATTTGACCAGGAATTTGCCTCCTCTCAGGTGAGAGCTGTGGGATATTCTGATGGGAGGAGTCCTGCAGTCTCTCCTGCTGCACTGTGGATAAATAATGAGTTATTGAAGCAGGGGGACTGGATCCTGGATCTCCCCATGCTGGGCCAGTGCTCCAACCACCAGGCTATGCAGCCGTTCTCCGGCCCAAGTGACCCTTGAAGGGAGAGAAGTGCTTCAGGAATTTTTACTGCAAAAACAGGAGCGTTGAGATCCCTGCGGGGTTTCAGCTGGAGTTTTATGCATCGCAGTGACCCCAGCCCTGGAACTTAGGGGCCCAGCTCCTTCTGAGCATTCAGCCCCAAACTTCTAAGCATCAAGCAGGTCTTCTCTTTGTGCTTCCCTTTCCCCATCTGTAAAACAGGGGCAAAAATACTTGACACTTTTCAACTCCAAAGCACCTTGCAAAGGGTAAGTAAACATTCAGCACTATCCCCGCATGGAGGCAGGTGAGGGGTGTTTGTTTATGTGTTTGAGTGACGTGGTCTAGTGCTGCAAGACACCCCTCGACCCTCCCCCAGACATTGTCAGTGCGGCAAAGACACGAGCAGAAACACAGCCAGTTTTGCACTGGCCCAGCGTGCCAGGGACACGTCCGGAGACAGATGTTGTACACAAAAGGTGCAAATGTAAATCAGGGCAAGGACTATGATAGAATTTATAGAAAGCTCCAGCCCATGCTGCAGCATGAGTAATGATGGAGGTGATTATTAATTAATCACGCTCGTCGGGGAGAGAGCATCAGTGTAAGGAGTAATTAAAATGAAACGCTGTACAGCAGTAGCAAACGATGATTTATGAAGCCGAGTAACTGCTGTGCTGCCTTCTCTCCCTTCCACAGGCCCAATGGGAAGGATTAACTGGGCGTATTGTCTTCAACAAAACCAGTGGATTAAGGACAGATTTTGACTTGGACATCATCAGCCTCAAAGAGGATGGTCTCGAAAAGGTCAGTAAAGTTTGTCCTTCCTGCTAGCTAAAGAGTTTATGAAAAAACCTTCAAAAGATCCACTCAGGCCCCCTGGAAAACGGTGCATCAGCCTCGTAACTCCTATATTTGCCTCTGTGTTCGACGTAAGGGTCTTTGCTGCTTTGGAATTGCTCTGCTCCTGTTCCCTGATGTACACACACACACACACCCCTGAACCCTCAGCCCAAGTTGTCACAACTAGTTGCCATGTAAGATTGTTGTGGTAAAACACACAGGAAACGGTGGAGCCACAGAAGCAGAAGAAACTCCCTGAACAGTCAGGAGCCTGGTTTTTTTCCCATGCCACTGATGGGAAGAAAAAAGCCCAACCCAAGTGCTGCCTACATGCCACAGTTTGTTTATGCAAAAAGAAAAGGAGGACTTGTGGCACCTTAGAGACTAACCAATTTATTTGAGCATAAGCTTTCGTGAGCTACAGCTCACTTCATCGGATGCATAAAAGTTTATGAAGTGTTTTCCCTGAGGTGACAGCAGCTCTTTAAAGCCCCTCTCTCAGTGTGATCTCCTGCTATGAAAATTGCCTAAGGCCTGGAAATATCCCCTGTTCATTACAGCCCTGATTGGCCCTCTTGCAGCTTGAGTTTTGGAGGAGATGATAATGTATGTTTATTTTGCTTTTTGATATCGGAGAGAGGGTACGAACAAAACGAGGGCAGGTTAGTTTCCTGGCCTGATTGGAAATTTCCCATTTGGATGTGGAGTGTCTGCAGCAGCAATCCTGCTGCTGGGGACGCAAGGTAGCAGCCCAAACGCTGCTCCAACAAGAGACTGCTGAATTGGAATTAATTTGCAAACTGGACACCATTACATTAGGCTTGAATAAAGACTGGGAGTGGATGGGTCATTACACAAAGTAAAACTATTTCCCCATGTTTATTCCCCCCCTTCCCCCCCGCTACTGTTCCTCACACATTCTTGTCAACTGCTGGAAATGGCCCACCTTGATTATCACTGCAAAAAGGTTTTTTTCTCTCCTGCTGGTAATAGCTCACCTCATCTGATCACTCTCATTACACTGTGTATGGTAACACCCACTGTTTCATGTTCTCTGTGTATATAAAATCTCCCCACTGTATTTTCCACAGCATGCATCCGATGAAGTGAGCTGTAGCTCACGAAAGCTTAGGCTCAAATAAATTTGCTAGTCTCTAAGGTGCCACAAGTCCTCCTTTTCTTCTTACTACCCCGTAGAATCCTCCTAATTAGCACAGATCCCTGCTGGATACAGGGATATCATACCACTGAAGTTCAGGCCTGAATCTCAGGTGCTCATGAGGATTTCATTCCTGTTTCATGGACCACTTAAAAAAACAAAGAATACTCAAAGCATTAAAACTTCTAAAACATCATTTTCAAGGGGAGAGCAGTTCAGTCAGTGGACAAAACAGAGCAGCAAGTTGCCTGAATAGAACAAAGATCTGCACCGTGGACAATTCATACCAATAGTTATCTATTCACATGTGCTGTGCTCGAAGCAGGTTGCATATAGTGACATTACAGTCTCTGTGAGCTAGCTATCCATGGTTAGAGAGCCTTTGAATTTACCTTGGGGACTGATTCTTCACGGCTTTACCCATTAGGTGGTTGCTGACACCTTGCAAAGTGGGTTGCTAGGATTGGTGCCAGTGGGTAACATCAGTCCACCCTGCTCCCTGTGCCAGTGGACAGCTTACCACTAGTGATCCCGGTAGAGTAATAGGCAAAAATGGCAGACATTTTGGATATCTCGTGAATCTGAACCTTAAAGTACTGCCAAAATATCTATCAGTCAGCGTAGTTCTCCTCAGCTGTATGATAGAATTGCTGACCCTAGTGGTATTTATTACCTCCGTGTGTCACGTAATGCTCACTGGAAATTGCCAAACCCTGAAGCATATTCCTCAAGGATGCTCAGTTTTTATGTTTAATCTTCATCGAGTCAAGAGATTTTGTAGCTCTCTGCTTTTTTTTTTTTAAAAAAAAGCTTTTTGTCAACCCTAGAAAGGTTTTAAAGTATAGATGTTAAATCTCTGTGGACACTAAGATTCTGTTAATAGCTAATCTGAAATAATGAAATGCCAAACGGAGTGAATCCCAATATGTACTTTGCATTATGTATAATAGCTTATATTTGTTGAGCTTTAGGATTGTGCTTCTGATCCTGCTACCTCCTGGATGTTCTGAGGATTAAAGCAGTATTACCCAAACATAATTACATGTAGTCTGACTATCTGACTTGCACAGTTCTCTTAATGGAATATTTGCATTTTTTCTTTATTTTAATTTGTAAATTAATTAATGCAGACTTGAGTTCCATGCATTTCATTTTTCTTAAGGAAAATTTAGCAAGGGATTCTTCGCTGAGTAGGTAGCATTGCCAAAGGCTCTTTATATTATTGCTTCTCTTTCCTATAACAATAATAATCTTCTGACATTTTAACTGGCTGCGTGATTGGAAGGAGGGATGGAGGAGAGCCTGGCTTTTGTAAAATATTTAGAGATTCTCAGAAAGTTCACGGAAACTCTTTTAAAATTTATACTGTTCATGTCAAACAGCATTCGTTGTTCAAAAACCCTTTCTGTGAATGCAATAAAACCAGGTTTTCGCCAGAGGTTGCTGGGGAGATTGCATTATTTAAAAAAAAAATAGAAAAGAAAACCAATCAAGGAAACAAAAAACATAAATAAATAAATAATCCAAAGCTCCTGGCCCCGCAATGGGATTGGTCTGTGGGCTCTCCGTTTTCAAGGTTCCATCACTCATGTGGCCTCGTAGATGGAGCGACCTGTATATTCTGCGGTTCCTATTTGCTGTGTCTCTGTCTCTGTCTGTTTGGGGGCATAACAAGCCTCAAAGGGGCAGCCTTAGACAACCAGCCACAAGGTTTGACTATGACAGGAGATTTTAAACCTGCATTCTCGAGGTCTGGGAGAGAGTGCGGAGTAGCAGGTGCAGCAGGACGATGAGGGGCCAGATCCTCTTTAGGTGTAAATGTGCTTAGCACAATGGCGTCACTGGAGCGGTACTCCTTTATGCCAGCTAGGCCCAGGAGTCAAACTCTTCTGCGGGCCCTCTGCATAGCTGTTGCCAGGCCTTTCTCCTCCCAGAGCTTCAGCTTGCCCAGTGGTAAAAGGCTGTGTCACCAGCCAATCGTTACTGTTGGTCAAGTGGAGTGAGATCCCGGTAGGAAAGACTCTACAAAAGATCAGTCAGCTCTAAAATCGGGAGGCAGTGTGGTAGAATGGATAGGGCACTGGACTGGGATCCAGGAGATTTGGATTCTAGTCCCAGCTGTGCTGTTAAGCTCCTCTGTGATGATGGGTAATTCACGGCCTTGGCTTCCCCTCCCATCTTGGTCTGTTTTGTTTATTTGGACTGTGAGCTCCTCAGGGAAGGGCCTGTCTCTCACTTTGTTTCCGGAGTGCCTAGCGCAACAGGGGTGCTACACGCCACTGTCATAGAAATAAGAATACTGTAAACAAGTTGTTACCTAGCTACATACATGAAGGTGGAGGAAAGTGCGTTCTGATGTTAAACATAGCGCTGTACTGCAATCGTTTCCTTTCCAGTTAGCCTCTTTGCCTTCTTTTTTCACATTTGCAGTCATGCTGTTAAAAGGCCTTTTAACGACTGTAAAATATAGATAGTGGCTGGACAGAAAGGGGAGCTGAATGGTAACATCCCATGCAGCATCTGCTCCTGCAGCTGGAGGGCAGGCCGGCCGTGTGTGTTTGCATTTGTTTAAAAGGGAATTGGACCAAATATCGGTGATGATGCTGGACCAGTTCCATAGCGGGTGTAAATCATCCTAGCTCCCCTGGTTTTAAAGAGACTGTGACATTTTACCTCAGCTAACGATCTGGCCCTCTATCTCTCAGCAGAAGAGAACTGATTAAAATTAACACTTGGCCCCTATTTGTGACACTTTATAACTGAGCCAAATAAATTTATAGAGAGGAACGTAGGAATTCCCCAATTGGATCAGACCCCAGGATCCTGTCTCTGACAGTGACCAGTGCCAGCCGCTTCAGAGGAAGGGGCAAGAACTCCCTGATGGGCAGGTATAGAGTAATCTTCCCCCATTAGAAGTGGATAGCTGGGAGTTCCTGGCCGGTTGCTTTGAGTCCAGCTCATATTCATTCCCCATGTTACTAGTTTTCAAGTTGGTTCAAAATGGAGCTAAGTGAAATGCAGATGGGCTTGATCTCCACTCCATGACACTAATGTTATGCTCCTTGTCTGTACCTCCAGGGACTTTGATGCAGTTGCCCTGGGTGGAACTGGTGTCATGTGGAATCTGCCCACATACAGGGTATTACAGGAGTTCATATTTCTGAACTCTCTCTCTAATACCAGGGCCTCTCGGCACTTTTCTCTGCAAGGACACTGTGATCGCCTGCTGAAATCAAACACTCTCCCCAGGACAAAATTATTTGAATGGAGAAGTCTTAATTAATGTCTTGAGTATACATTGCAGGTTGTGTGCTAGATCCAGGGACGTTATTCTCTGCACTGGCGTAAATGAGTGCTCCATCCGTGGGGAAATGGCAGACGGGATTGACTAACAGTAGCAATCCTGCAATGCAAACCAGACAGGAGAGTTCATAAGTTTATAGTTCCCCTATTAATGTGTATGGTATAGCTTGACTTCACCAGACACATTTTTCACACGATAACAGATAGGAAATACATTGGATACACTATGAATTGTAAAAAGAAAAGAAGTACTTGTGGCACCTTAGAGACTAACAAATTTATTTGAGCATGAGCTTTCGTGAATGCATCCGATGCAGTGAGCTGTAGCTCACGAAAGCTTATGCTCAAATAAATTGGTTAGTCTCTAAGGTGCCACAAGTCCTCCTTTTCTTTTTGCGAATACAGACTAACACGGCTGCTACTCTGAAACCTGTCACTATGAATTGTGATGCAAGTCACATATATTCCAATTACGTCTAAGCCTAGTCGGGGGGCTGGAACAATTTGTACAGTGGGGGTGCTGAGAGCCATTGAACCAAACTATAAATCCCATATATGATGGAAACCGCTTCAAGCCAGGGGGTGCTCCCGCACCCCCAGAACCCCTGTCTAGTGCTCCGATGAGTCTACTGCTGCAGAGAAGGTTGCCCACAAAACAGGGCAGTGGCTCTGCAAGCTTGGATCTCATTTGGCTGCGTTTTTTATTTTTTTAAGAAACACACGTTTTCATGGGAATCCTTTATTTCTTGCGAAACGTGCTGGTTTTTAAATGAAAACACTTTCAGACTTTTGAAAACGGAAACCAACCCCCAAATCCCCAGCATTTTTATGTTTCTCTGTTTTTTGTTAAAACCCCCAAAATTCCAGCAGCCACCGTCAGAATGTTTTCTTATTTTTAAAATTTTCATCAGAAATACCATTTTCCAACCAGCTGTGTTCTCAGCCTTTTCCATACCAGAATTCTCCTCCCACCTTGCTGCACTGCCCTCCCGTTTAACAATATGGGAAGGATGGATCGAGACCACAGCCCCTGTCCTCTGGTCTGTATGACCCACAAGACTCCTTCCAACACAAATGACTCTAAATACTGTCTGAACACATCCCTTGAGTGCAGCCAAAGCCTGTCTTTTGCTTGAATACATCCCATGACCTCTTTTTGGTTACTATAGGAGATGGGCCCAAGCTGGAAAATTATTATCTAAATTTTTAACCCTTCACAAGTTTGGAAGTGTTAGAATCTGGGGTTTCTGGTGCCAACCCTGCCATTCACCAAAGCTTGGGACATATTTGCATTGGGAAATCTTTGATTCAGGAATATCTCTAATCACTGTGAGGCTTGGCCAAAGTTCACTCTTCAGTGTATTCTGAGCTCCTGTACTGCATGGCGCTATTGTCCATTCTTGAATGAATTCCTGAACTCTAGATATCATGGACCTCCATATTTGTCCACAAGTATCAGTGCCCCCATTTAGAGGGCAGCAAAACGGAAAGGCATTCGGTATTTGTAATGTCTGCTCTGCATGGGTGACCGTTGGAGTGGTCTGCAACTGCAGGATTAGTGTAACTTTCTCTTCTGTTTAGCTCAGCCAATGCGGTGTATTCAGCTTTGCTTGCATGTGCAGCAGAAGACAGAAATAGCTACCATTCAGCCAGGGCTGTGGGATTCTGGAAGAGACTGAACACCACATGTCAAGTGTCTAGTAATTTGTTTCTTTGCTTCATTTCAGGTTGGAGTGTGGAACCCTTCTGATGGTTTGAACATCACGGAAATTTCCAAGGGGCGAGGGCCCAACGTCACAGACTCACTAACCAACAGATCTCTTATTGTCACCACTGTACTGGTAGGAGGCTGCAAGCTTGTATTTCTCATCCATATATAAATGGCTGGAAATATGTGACTTCTCTGGTGCTTTACAATGCTGCAGTAGATTTGCCAGTCCCTTTGCTTTTGGCCTTATGTTTAGGGGCTCTCTCCTAGCTCCCCATGCTATTGGCAAGGTCAGAAACCTGCGCTGGTCACCAGTAAGACACCAACAGTTGCCACACAGCTGAGTGCCTGAGACACCACAGCTCTTCGCTTTACTTAAGATAACAAGAGATAAGAGAGACTGAGATTTCAATGTGCTAGGGACTGTCATGTGCACACTGTTGGCAAATATTGGCTCACTCATGGTGACCAATTAACCTCCACTAGTTAGCAACATTTTACCTCCCATGGCTGCCCCATGCAAAGGTGTGATGGCCCCCAGGCACCTGCTAGCACATGGCTGATCTGGATGGGGTCATAAAGGGGAAGGGGAAGCTAGTGCAGAGGAGGCGACCGTGGAGAAAAGGTGTGTTCTCTCTCCTCCTACCTGGCTGGAGCTGGATAGTCCGTGGGTGCTTTTTAGCCAGTAGTTTGAGTTGGTTTGTCTGGGGTTTGAGTTTGTGATTTTGGAAATCAAGCCTTGAGGAAAGGATGTGAAATGACCGGTAGCTGGTGAGTCTGTCTGCACAGTGGCTTACAGGCCCTTCCCTGCGTAGAAGTGAGGTTGGACTAGAGAGAGGGGGAGACCTGCAACCATATCACTCTCTGCTGCACACTCTCATACCCACATGCTGACAGTGCCTCCTGGTTTATCAGCTGGGCAGGGCAGGTGTTAGCAGCCCTGAATCCCACAGTTGGTCTGTAGGACAGTTCCAAATGTTTCATTAGCAGTAATTGACACGGAAGGTGGACAGAGTCTGAGGGAGGAGATCTCTACTGACGTGAGTAGAGACGGGTGCTACTGCCCAAGAGGCCTGTGCTGGTCTGGTCGCCACCTGACCCAACTTGCATTCCTTAGGCCCAGGTGCCACGCCAAACTGGCTCCTTCCCGTCCCTCTATTTCCACACCAACCACGGGGCTGGGTGAGGAGATGGGGTGGGAGTGCTGCAGTGTCTCATCTTCAGGAGACAGAAGAAAAATGTGCACAAAGGACTTGGCTTTGGGGGTCTCCTTGCTCCTCTGACCACCGGTTGGGGACAAGGGGATGAGGAAGTGGAGAGGCCACCTACCACCCTTCCCCTTTATCCTGACAGTAGAGGGCCACTAGAGGAAAGAGGCTGGGGAGAGAGGTGGTGAGCTGAAGGCCATGTTTGAGAAGGAGTTGGAGAAAGGTGCCATTGGTGCCTAAGGGGGCACAGAGGGAACCATATCCTCTCTGCCCCAGACCCCCGAAGAGAGAACTGAATGGCTTTGCTGTCCCATTTCACTCTTTGGGGAGATCTTTCCCTCAGGCAGCGTCTCAAACGTTCAGTGGGAGCTTTCTACCCACAATCCCACTCTGCACCACGGCAGCTGGCGTGAGGACTCAGATGGTGCATGCATTCCCAGAAGCCCTGGCCCTTCCCAGGAACGGGCTGGGGCGATCATTTAGTGCATCTGGTAACAGATGTATTCCTCCCTGCAAGCTGGGAGTGCTGCTCTGGGCACTTTAGCCACCTGAAGAGAAGCCAAAGCTAGTTGATATGCTGAGCAATGACTCTGAGGCATCAGAGCCCACTATAAAGGGTGAATATCCTGCAATATTGTCATTGGTCTTAGAATTCACAGTTTGTGGGCTGGGGAGGGGGTATCCTTTTTTGCATTAGTGGTTATCAATAAAAGATATTGAGTCAATCTGTTTGGTATAAAATGGCACCATTGACATCAATGCGGGAGCATTGATTTAGACCAAGAGAAAATCTGACCCACTGAATACTTACTCAGACAATCAGCAAAAAGAAAAGGAGTACTTGTGGCACCTTAGAGACTAACCAATTTATTTGAGCATGAGACAATCAGGTACACCGAAGACCTGGTGGAGATACCTGCTTTCATTGCCTGGTAGGCAGGGCTGGGTTTATGGCACCGTTGTCACTCCAGAACTTCGGCACGTCCTTGCTGTCGTGACTGAACAGAGCCCTTCTGGGAGCTAGCTGGTCCTTTCTAGAAAAGATATACACTGTGCTGAGTGAATGGCTAATCTGTCTGCACCCAGAGGCATTTCAATACCTGTGTATCTAAGCAATGGAACTTAAAGGAGAAGAAATACGAGAAGGAGAGGGAATCTGGTGCTCAGAGAGAGCGTGAGGGTGCTGGCTGGCCTCAGACAGGGCACAAGCAGGTGCTGCACAGACTCCCACATGTATGGTGCTAAGCTGCAGCATCTCCTGCTGTTCCCACACTCCAGAGAAACGGCTGCTCCTTGTCCACACGTGCCAGCCAATTCAGTGATTCTGTGTGTTGCTGGCTAGAAGCCACCACACTTCCAGTAGCCATGAGGCTGCTTCTTGTTCCCGCTGCACTTTTGAAAACATCCACGTCAACTCTTGTGCGGAGTCTCAGGCATGTTCTCGGTCCCGGTGCTGGGCTGCATGACCCGGTGCTCGGTCCCAGTGAGGGGCTGCATGCACTGGGCGCAAGAAAGGCTCTTAACTCGCATTCCACACAGGTTGTACAAGTGCCCGACTAACTAGCAGGAGAGGGGTGGGTGTCTGCTTCAGGTGTAACTATTCTCATCACAGCAAAAAAATAAGAGCAAATGCATGCCTCAGTGTCCTCCCTTCTGGGGCCTTAGTGGCTCAGGGGATTAAGAAGGGGCTAGAGGGTCTCTTCCTCTCTCTCACTGATCGAAGGAGGGGCACATTCTCTCACACATAGTCATCAACATCAGGTGGCTGCTCAGCAGCCCTCTATGAAGTGGCTTGTCAGTCTCCGCAGATTTTCTGTTGGACATTTGCCCCCATAACTCCAAGGCCACAAAAGCCCCAAATTAGCTGCCCTGCTGGCAATCTTAGCAGAGAAACCAGTGGCTTCATGGGCCTTGGAGACTGAATCCTCCTCTTGCTTCTAGATGAGGCCCTTCAAGGTCAGAGCTGAAGCTCCGTGTCAGGAGGTGGGGTGGGTACCACCGGGGTGCTTGTCCTGCCACTCCCAGCATTGTATCTGCTCTGCGGGTGCTTCATGCTCCAGCGCTGCCAAGCCGTCACTTCTCACTATCCCAGAATTCATTTATACACACGGGTTAGAACTGCAGCGGCTGTGTTTCTTTCCCCTCGTAACTACGTAGGTGACAACCTAGCCAAAAGTAATTGAGTTATCCAGCAAACCATGGATACTTAACCAATCTCCTCTGTCTCCAGCTGTCACGCTGTATTTAGTTCTTGCCTTCACTACTGGATTTGATAGCAGGCATCAGATCAGAATGAATTTTTATTTAACATCTAATGAATTATGACTAGTAGCATTGGTTTGTATTTGGCTCTGTTACACAATGCTGGGTCTGCCAATCGGCAGCAACAGCAAATAATGCTGTGCCTAGAACAAATAAATGATTAAGGAAACCTGGGCAGGTTGTGTAGATCTGGTTTGAAATTCTGTTTATGCCAATAATTTTTCTGGCCAATTTCCATGCAGTGGCTTCAAGGAGCCTCTTCTGTCAAAGAATCGTGGATGTTAGAGGTGGGAAAGAATGGCTAGGTCATGTAGGGTTTAGAGAGTATCGTCTTTTATGACATATTGTCTAGGGTTCCTAAAAGGATGTGTGCATGTGAATTGGGTATTCATAAAAGAGAAGGACAAGTGTTTGGCTCAGTGCAATATTACAAGCACTGTGAAATGTATCCTCTGCCCATCTCTTTGTTCATGCACCTCGAGTCTCACCTAAAGAACCCCTTTCCGTTCCAGTTCTGGAGCTTGCACATAGCTTTGCCAATGCACCGCATTGCCAGCCTACAGCTCCTGCTATTCCAGTGGGGCTCTTCATGTTTGACTTTTACTCTGCTTGGGCTCTCCAGCAGGGTGATAGCCCTCTCCTTCCCAGGGTGATAAAAACTAAGGAAGGTAATGATTAAAAAATGTTTGTTCCATCGTTATCTTACAAATGATGCGCTCGTGCTGTGACACTGCTATCCAATAACACCCCCGTGTAATCACATCTCCCATCAGAGGCTGGACAAGGTAGCTGTGTAACCTGATCCAGTGTAGCAGAAAGGATGGGAGATACAGGACTTGACAGAGCAATGATCTGGTCTGGCATGTTGAGAGGTTGGATAATGGAATTAGATGGACCACTTGGGTAATGAGGCCTGACTTCCTAAAATGAAACAACCACCCAGCCTAAAAATAACCCAAACCTGGCACACAGCTGCTCCATCTTCTCTGTGTTCATTGTCATAAAACGTTTTTCCCAGCTGAGTTGCTCTGCTCAAACGCCTGGGTGTGAATGTGTTGCAGGAGCCTCTGGTTGTCTTAGTTTAGCCCATAACATGCTGCTTTCATGCCTTGCTTCAAATTCCTCAGACCCAAACTTTCAGAACAAGCCAAAAAAAAAAAAAAAGTAAATTCAAAAGTCCTTAGACCAGTAGTGAACAACCTGCGGCCCGTCAAGGTAATCCGCTGGTGGGCCGCGAGACAGTGTTTACATTGACCGTCCACAGGCATGGCTGCCCGCATCTCCCATTGGCCGGGAACGGCGAACCATGGCCACTGGGAGCTGCAGGTGGCCATGCCAATGCAAACACTGTCTGGCGGCCCGCTAGCAGATTACCCTGACGGCCCGCAGGTGGCCCACCACTACCTTGGGGGAAATGCTGGAACAAAAGGCACTTTGGCAGTTCCCACTCACTCAGATTTTGGACATCTCTGCTCAGGCTCCTGGAACAGGGTCAGTTTTTGCACAGTGTAACAGGGTGGCTTTGGCCTTATGGGCTGGAGGCCTCAGGCAGAAAAGCCCCATTACTGACAGAATGGCTCCAGCCCACCCGTGCCACGAGACTTGACGGGGCCTGATAGAGCACAGCTCATTCCCCTATAAAGGGCAGCAGGAAGCTGTAGGGAGGAGGGAAATTCAGGAAACTGCAGTGAGTGAAAAAAGCTCCTGCAGGGAAGAATCTGACACCAGGGGAATGGAGAAGTCAGAGCCAGGAGGCTGAACTCCAGCCCGGGCAAGCCTGAGAGTGACTTGACCTGGACCCAGCTCAGGGAAGAAGAAAGGGGGATGCCCTACTGAGGGGAGGGAGACACTAAACCGGTGTGTTGACCTCAGACCTGAATAAATTGGACCCTAGAAGGGGTATGTCTGAAATGCTGTGAACTGGGTAGTTCTTCAGGGGCCCAGAAGAGGGGGAAGGTAGCGGCAGGGTGCTGCAGGGCTACCTCTGGCCATCAGGGGGGAGGGGGCGGGGGGCATCTGTTTTGTTTTCTTTTTATTCTTTTGAATTTCCTTTTTTTTTTTTTTGGCTTGTTCTGAAAGTTTGGGTCTGAGGAATTTGAAGCAGGTTACTTCTAATGGGCCCAGCAGAAAGACTGCAAGGCTACCTGAGCTGGAGCCAGTCCCTGTAAGTGGGAGATAGAGCTGCGTGAATAATACAAAATAAATGCCATGCACAGTGATATGAACCCCAGGTGGAGTCCAGGGTCAGCGGTGGGGGAATTACCCAAGGTTATTTCAACTCTCTAAAGATTGAGCAGAGACTCATTTCCCCCTGCCTTTGTCCATCTTCATCTGTATCAAATTATAACATAGCGTGGTGCCACAAGGGGAATAATTGGCTGGGGGTGCTGGTAATACTGAAACGAAGGGTTGAGATGCACCAGCCCAGGTGTGTGGGGCCGAGGGCTGGAACAACAGTGAGAGCTGCAGGGCCAGGACTGAGAAATGCTGGAAGAGGGAATACTTCAGCTCAGAAGCGAGACATATTGGTAGAGCTGAGACGGGTCTGGATCTGGAATAGCTCTGTAGTGGGAGTGGCGCAAGTCAGGAGTGAGGTGCATCAGCAGAGCTAGGGAGCTGAAGGGAGCCCCTGCCTGTTTCTAGCTAGCACTTTAGTCTCTCCGCTCTAGCAATTCTACTGCCACGAAGGTCCCTAAGCTTTATGCTCACATTTCAGTTCTAAAGCATCCATAGAGCAAATCACCACCCTCTAATTGCTCAGCAATGTGTGCTGGAATGGGCGCGTGCATGCCTAACGCAAAGTCACCTGCAGCCTTATGACCCACCGAGTGAGGAGCATGATGGGATTGGCGCGCTGAGTTGTGCAATAAATGCATTTTCTTACATTGGCTCCTAAGAAGTAAAATACAACCCTAAACTTTATCGACATCTGCTGCTGCCCTTTCTGCCTCATCCGTAGGTGTAAATGACAGTAGAAAAGCCAGAGGAGGGATCTTTAAAAGGAAAAGCCGGAAAGGTTGTTCAGCCCCCTCCTCCCCACATCTCCCCACTGCCTTTTGCTCATATTGCAGTGGCTTGTTGGAAGAGAAATATTACTCCAGCAGCCAGCACCACTCTCCCTGAGCAATACAAGAACTGTGAAGTTATGAAATTGAGGGCACCTTCACTGAGAAATCGATTAGCAAGCCAAGGGAGCTTGTGAATTGGATGTCTGGCCATTTTCAGTAATAAATTGTGAAATAGTCTGTGAATAAGTGGTTCATAGAGATCAGAATTACCCCCAGGAAACGTTTGAGACCCGCAGATACATTACGGAGCAAGTGGCATCCTAATGTTCAGTGCTTTGGCTGTTAAATATGTATGTTATCCCTATAATGCTTCCCAAAATTAATAGTGTTCTATGGCTGATTTGGAGCTGGTGTATTTATACCAAGACCCGTAGACTCAGCTGGTTCACAAACAAAGCACTAAGTCCAGGGGAGAGGGCTGCAGAGGAGACTGGAGAGAGAGGGAGTTTAACGGGCTTTCATGCACTACGCTAACTCCATAGGCATGATGCTGTCAGCCTTGCTTTCTCAGCCAGACCCAGACCCAGACCCAGACGCTCTCTCTCATCCACTCCCCACCAACACCCAGAGCAAGACAAACTGCCTTCTGCACAGCCGTACGTGAATGGCCTGGTTTGTCCACTGTGAGTGCTGGATGAGCGTGGATCCCTCCAGGCAGGAGGCACAGGTAGGTATGTTGCTGGAATTCCAGCAAAGCCTCCATGCACTAGGGCGAGGTCTGGGCCACCTCCAAGCTAGGACTGTAGCATTGTGTGTAATGTTATCCAATGGTTCAGTCTAATAAATAGTCTTTTCCTCAGGTCGATCTCCTGTCCTGCCCTAGTCTCCTAGCGCTCATCTGCTGGATAGCGTACTTTGAGCATCTCAGCACTTCCCTTATGTATCTTCTCTCTCCGGCCACTCCCACATCTTCCTGGTCCCTTTCTGTTGCCATGACTAACAGCCCAAACGTCTTGCTTTGTGAAAGGCTATGCTTTTTATTGCATACTTTATTGCCTTCACTTGCATATGATGGCCTCATTCATCACAGGAGATGAGAAGAAAGATGGAACCTTCCTGTGTAGAAGCCTGTTATAGGGCTGCTAATATTAGTACATTATTATTTGGATCGTGGTAGTACCTGGTGGCCCCCATCATGGCTCAAGGCCCCATTTTTCTGGGCATTGTACCCACATATAATGAAAAGAGGGTCCTGGCCCAAAAACTGACTATCTAGGAGTAGGATGAGAGACACTAGTTGGAACAAAGAAAGGGAGAACAAGGTAACAATGAGACAATTTGATTATCGTAATAAACAGTGGTTCTGTATTTGACAGGCAACCTGGGATCTCCTGGTGTGCCATATATCGTGGGCATTAATCAGTGCTTCAGTGTGGGATGGAATAATAATAATTGATTAAAAATACATAGTTTGCTTTCTGCATCTGGACATGATTTTCTCAGAAAAGTAATGGCCGGTTCTGGATTCCGACAGAAGCTGGGTTATCCGCCTGACATCTCTGAACCTTTCAAGGCATCCAAGCTGGACATCTTTAAACTAAAAAGAATGGCTATTTTTGAGCATTAGCAGAAGTGCAATCATTTGGACTTGGAGGAGAGCAGCCCTCTGAGTGTTTCAGAAAGTTCACTGTGGAACATTCCTTTTAGATGTGTTATAACTTACAATGCTTCCTGGCGCTGCCTGCAGTCTGCTAGCTAATAAGGCGGCACTTTGCTGCAGCTTGTTAAATTTTCAGAGGCTTTTCTGAATACAAAAGTAATGAGAACAGCTCAGGAGGGGGAGAAAAGGCCTCAAGATAGCAAGGCGGGGGTACTTACCCCACCTTGCTGTGCCCTTCCTGAAGTAATGTGCCATGGCATGTTAGAAACAATCAGCTCCATGCAATATGCCCACAGTGCATGGGCATATACCCCACACTAACTACAAGTGCCCAGGGCCGTAACCACGGGTTTGTTGCTTGAGAGGCCAGGGTGATACCTGGTTATTGAAAAGTCCTGGGTCCTGATCCTGGGCTGCATCTGAGTTGATCTCAGTGCAACATGGGTGTGGGAAAAGATGCCAAAAGCCACCAGTACCACTGCTGACTAGCATAATTTAGAGCCATCCTGGAGCTGCTGTAAATTATGCCTGCTGCCTCTGACCCCAGTGGCAGAGCACCTTATAACTCTTGGGCATGTCCTCTGCACCGACAGCCAAAGTGGGGGTGGGGACACATTGGGCACTATGCCTGTGAACAGTCCTCTGACAGACAGTTCGGCTGCCATATGGCCAGAATCAAGCTGTGGGTCAGAACTGGAGGGGATGTTCCTGGGATACTATAGGACATGATCAAATCCAGGTGTATGTGGAAAACCTGTCCTTTGGAACAGCTAGCAAGAAACCTGCTTGGGAACCATCTACTTTTAGCACCTCCTCCTCTAAGTACAGACCTGTGCTCTCAGGTGCACCTGCTATGGAAGCGGGTGCTGGTGTGTTACAAAGGAAAAGGTCTAAGACACGCGCTGGTCTCCTTTTGACCTACCTCTGGCCAGCACTAGAATCCCTGCCCCAGTCTTTGCTTTGTCTTGTTCACCTATCCTGGGGGGATAAAGAAATAAAGCCAATCTTATACCAGCCACCAGCCACACATGGTGTCCTGGCAAGACACCCAGCTCAGATGCTCTTAAGAACCCTGATGGTGGTGAGTCCACAACAGTCCCCAGGGATCGGTTCATTTGTGTTTCTAGCGTCTGGGATTTGTGGCTGAATTCTTTTCCCCTATGTATTTTTATTTTTCAATGCCCTTGTTTTCATTTGCAGAGCATGAAATGGTTATTTTCTCTCTCTCTCTCTCTCTCTCTCTCTGAAATCCCGCAGGATGGAAACCAGTTGGCTGCTCAGAAGAGACGAAATTAAATTTAGTGGGGTAAACAAGGTTGCTAATTAGCTGATGCACCATGCAAAGTTAATTTATTCCAAACATGTCGTGGTGCCAACCTTGCCTGCATAATGAGTGTCACATTGCGCAGGGTTACCTGGAGGAACAGCCACCTGCTTTCATCACTTTTCTGCTGGAAATGGGCCTGGCAGCCTGCCCTTAACCGTGGCTCTTTGCTGTGCTCTCACCCATCTGCGCAGGAAGAGCCCTTCGTCATGTTTCGGAAGTCAGACACAGCCCTCTTCGGGAACGACCGCTTCGAAGGTTACTGCATTGACCTTCTGAAGGAGCTGTCCCACATCTTGGGCTTTACCTACGATATCCGGCTGGTGGAGGACGGGAAGTATGGAGCACAGGATGAGAAGGGGCAGTGGAACGGCATGATGAAGGAACTCATCGACCATGTGAGTAAGACCCGTGTGTGTAAAGCTCCCAGTAACTAGGGGATAAACCATGCTGCAGCCTGAACTGTGGGTCAGGACACCTGGAGTGGGTTGGCATCCCAGCCCATCTGAGCTCTGTATCTTCCCCGATGTATACTGAACATATTCTATAATACAAATATTCTTGATCATTGCTAGGGGCCTCTTCCAGCTTTTCCACAGTCATTGAGTGAAGAAATAAATTAGCCCCACCAACAGATGTCTTCCTTTGCGTCAGTGTAGGACCAGGGGCACCACTGCCCCAGGCGGGTAACATCCTGGCTCTAAGCCACCCCTTCTAATTCCAGCTGCTGGCACAGGGGGCATGTTGTGGGCATTCCCATTGCCGAGGGCTTGCCAGAGCGTAGCAATGCTCTGGACGTCTCTGACCAATGTAATCACCCATGGGGCTGTTACTTGCCTCAGTGCTGCTGAAATTCCTGGTGGCTGTCAAGTCACACCTGGGGTGGAAGCATCCCCCAGCAGCTCTTGGGATGGGGGGGTGGATGGGGAGACAACCAGCTGCCTTAGACTCTGTGCCCCCAGTCTTGCACAAAGCACAGCCTGAGCAGACTTGAGGATCATGGCTATTAAGTATTTTGGATACACGTCATGCTGTTAAATATAATCATTACACATGGCAGTCCAAGTCCCTCCCTCGGGTATGTACAGCAACCCCAGCCGGAGTCAAGGAGAGCTCTGTGGAGGTGTGGAAGAACAGAACAGGGTCCTGTCCTTCTCCCATTGAGCTAACGGGGAGCTTTGCCACCAACGTCAATGGGAGGAGTGGTAAGCCCCATATATGGGCAGTAGGGTTCCCAGGAGATACCATTACTTCTGGGTGATGAAAATCGGAACCTCAGCCTTACATTCATGTACATTTCGTCCTCAGTGTCTAGTGTAAAGTTGTGTTCGAATGGGAGGTGAATTCTGGCCAAGCGTATTTAAATGTGTGTCCCAGATAATGTGCTTACCCAGAGGAGGGAGTCATAGGACTGGAAGGAACCTTACGAGGTCCTCTGCTCCAACCCCCACCAGTGCTAAGGCAGGATTAAGTATACCTGCCTCAGTGAGCGGTCATGCAGCATCTTCTGGTATTTAGTCACAGCTGAGTGGAGCCCTTATCCTGAGAGGAGTTCATTTGCTGGGTTGCTCTCTGCACACTCAGTGTCTGACATACTTGGCTGCATCCCTTTTCCATCCCTCTTCTTAATGTTACTTGGCCAAGACCCCAATGACACCCTGCCCTCGAGCCCAGGTGCTGAGGGTTCTCAAAGATGTGGTGGGGAGTAGCCCACAACTCCTGGTGTCTTCAGTTCTGAAATATCACCTCCTGCTGACAGGATGACATGGAGCTATTCCCCTCCCGTGTGCCTGTCCTCTGGGATAACAAATGTACAGCAATCAACCAACTGGGCAGATGGTCCCTAGTGCAGGGACAGTGTTTCGCCAGCCTGGGATAGCGCGAACAAGCCTGCTGCACGCTTGGCTCCATCATTTAACCAGGCTGAGTCTGAAAGGGTGCAAAGAGCACGGCCCCAAAGGCTGATGCCCTTACGCAGAGACCTGCTTCGTTATGTGCCATAGAATGCCCCAGGCTGGTGGTGTGCAACACTCCCACCATCGTCCCCTGTGCGTGCCCTACAGCTGTGGGATCACTGGCCTGACTGAGCAAGGACTCCTATTCCACAGAGCACACGTTCATCTGTGAGCATATGCGTCCGTCCCACAGACTTCAATGGGACTCAGGCGTGCGCCTGAAAGTTAGCACCCCCTGAAGTGCTTTGCTGCATCAGAGCCTCGCTGAGAAACAAACAATGCGACTAGGCTCTGATCCCTTTTCCAACCCTGGGCCCTGGCGGAAAGATCCCAAGAGAACGATTTGCCCTTCACTAAAGCACTACACACTCCTGGCTGCGCTGACCATGCCACCAGCTGTTAAGCAGAAGGGAGCCCATTCAGCCTGCTTTAATCTTGGATTATACCTCCTAAACTTCCCTGGATGTTTTTTTCCACCCAGCATTCCTGTCACGCAGAATCGGCGGCAGTTGTCCTTGTGCTGCTGCCAGTAATTTGAAAGTCTGAGTTGACCACGGCTCCTGGAGAAAACCCTGTAACGCATGTTAACAATTGTGATGCTGTAGTCATCGGTCGTCATGCCAAGAGGCCTCTTCCGCCCCTGTGGTCAGGGTGATGGGGGAGCATTTCAGAAGGAGGCTCTGCCACTGGGTGATTAATAATTGTGTGTGTGTGTGTAGGCATGGTAATAGGGTGGGAAATTGCTAGATACAAGGCAAGTCTCTCACAACTGTTTGCCAGGCCGCCCAGCAGTGCAGAAGAGGGAAAACAATCAAATTCCTCATAAATCTTATCTTCCAGAGGAGACTTAATTATAGGCCCATTTGTAGACATGAAATAAATCCCACCGCACTTTTTTGCAAGACTGGGGAGGCATTAACCTCAGTGTCCTGACCTGATTCCAGTTCTGGTATTTAACTTCACAGAGGCATTTTAGAAACTATTCTGCCTCACTTCCCATCCTAAACTCCTGTGTGCGGTTACCCTGCACTCTTACACCCTTCACAGCCTTCCGCAGGAAAGGCTCCAGGGAACTGTCCAGGCACTGTCTGGGATTTGCAAAGAGACAGCAAGGAGGTTATGTTTCCAACTCCCATTAAAAGAGAGCAGCTAGCACCCTCTGGAAAAACCCATCACCCGTTTCCCCTCCCGCTCCTCAGCAGTACATTCAGAAAACTGATGTAGTAAATAAACCCCTGTGGGGAACTATAGAAACCTATCACCTTATCTGGCTTGACTCAGGTGACCCTCACACTAAAGCTCAATGCAGCTAAATGTGTGACCCAAAGCCATAGGACATCATCAGCATGATTTATTTTTATTATTTCACTGGCTGTTTCCTTCATTTCTGGTGAGCACAGAAGTGTGACATCTCCTACTTCTCCGGCTTAGTGGCATGCTTATTTATTGGCAGTACTATCTTGTGTTTTTCCTGGCTCCTAGGTGAACAGATGATCCCTACTGCACCATATAACGAAAATATCTAGCACTTCTCTAGCAACTTAATCCCAGGGTCTCAAACTGCTTTACGAGAATTCATGACAACACTTCTGCAAATTACCCCAACAGCTACTGTCCGTAGTTTACAGACAGGGAAATTGAGGCATGAAGACTTGGCTGATGGGCACACAGTACATCAGTGGCAGAATCAGAACCCAGTCCAATGCCCCACCCACTAGAGCATGCTGCCACACAGTCAGGACATCTCCTTCCCTTTCTGAGGCACACGTGGTTGGCGGGAGGAATTTTCTTCATAATTGCTTGCAATGCACCGTGCCAGGGTCTGTACTAGCTGGACGGCACGCACTTCAGCTCTCTGCGAGTATCCAGGCTCACCAAGGCAGGAGTTCCTGTTTCACAGGGAGGAGGGAGTTCTTCCTGTGACTCAACTGAGAGGAGCAGATAAGCCAAATCAGTGCAGCTCCTCAACATCCAGGCAAGCCGAGTCAGCCCGGTACCTGCTGTTTGGGGCCAGCCCTGCTGCATCTCCAGACCTTGTGGAGCTGCATTCTCACGGGAGCAGGCTTTCTTGTGAGATCTCAGGGACTCCAGACTGGGAGTTCCCTGCAAGCAGCTTTTTCCAGGGAGTGCTTCAGCCACAGCCCAGAAGAGCAGATGATGATGAAGGAAAGAATAAAAGCCGCTCAATACCTGAAGTAAGGATTGGGTTTGGACTGGGGTCTGTAAATGGAGCAGGGCTCAGGGCTGATGTGTGTTGGGGGCATTTGGTCTAAGTCCCATCCTTAGCTGAGACCCCTCGTTTAGGAATTAGTGTCTGGATGCAATGTTGGTTGGCACTTGAGATACACCACGGCAAAGGGTCTCCGCCTCCCCCCCGCCCCTAGGAGAGAGAAACTGTTGGACTCTCCCTCCCCCAAAAAGGAGGGTGATCATGCACCCCTGAAACCATTTACATTTTCTGGTTGAGAATCTGTGTGTGCCCTTGATAGACAGGCAGACCAATGGGTATGTTCTGAGTTCTCACAGGGCCTAGCACAACGGGGTCCCTGGCTGGAGTTCCTAGGCACTATGGTAATACAAATAACATTGGGATAAATATGTGATAGGTAGCTAGAGGGGTATGTATTTGTATAAACATGATGATCGCTAGAGGGGTATATATTGTGCTAGGTAGGACTTTCCTCTCTTCTTCTAGCTAATCCTCCACCCCACCATGAGCATTCCCAGCAGACTCCACGTAAAGCATTCCCTTCCATTTTCACGCAGAGCCTAAAACATTTGTAGAGAGCTTTGTGTGCCCGGTGTCCCCCAAGGAACACAGCCATCTGGGATACAATGCAGCGAAAGATGCTTTGTAATAGAGAATGTCATTATGGTTTTGCTGCCCTTGGATATACATAGAAAGGAAAGCAAAGGGTCCAGAATCCTGCAAGCTTTACTCCTCTGAGTAATGCTTAGTGATTTCATTGGGGTGAATAAGTGCTACTCCGAGTAAGAGCTGTCAAATGTCTGCTACAGCTGCATCCTGTACAGTATCCCAGCTCTGTCTAGCATGTGTAACCAACAGGCAGTTGTGAATAATTAGGCTCTTCTCTAGCCTTGAATCCCAGAGGCATTACCTGCTTCTAATGATCTGCTTTCATGCTTTATGGAGTGACCCTTCTGTGGAACAGAGGGCAAGAGCAGGCGTGCAGGGGACAATTTAATTTATTTATAAATTCAGCTTATTTTCTAAAATCATCTGACTCGCAGAAAGGGGGGAAAAAACAACAACCCACGTCACCAACCAGAGCAGCTGCGTTCTTGCTTCCACTGCCATTTAAAAGAGTCCATTAAACACTAGTGCATTTCCAGCGGCAGTGTTACTGAGTCCCAAAGCAGCCAGAAAGGCAAACTGTCTGAGACCTCAGCTCATGGCCAGAGGTCACTCAACTTCCTAATGA